AGGGAGGGAGGGAGGGAGGGAGACAAAATTTTAAAGTATAATCCACAAAAGAATAGTTTTCAATATATTTCAGACTTAAGTTAAAGTGCTGAAAATCTGTAAGTCAGTTAATATCAAACTAAAAAAGTAGACAAAACCCAAAAACTTTAAAGTAGCAATATGTTTCCATACCTTTCAATGGTAGCTTTGCCTTCATTTTTAACAGTCTGATAAACCTTTCTCTCTTCTTCTGACAGAGTAACATGCTGAATAAATACTTTCTTTCCTGGAAACTCCAAAACAGGTTTTCCTTTAATTTTGCTTGTCATTGTTCTTCTAAGTGTGGTACTTTTAATTAAAGACTGTAAATACCTAGTCAAAGTAAAACAAGTAATTATATAACTAATTCTAAATACACTAAGCAACAAAAAACAATAAACAAGAGTTTATTGATTTATAATCTTACTAAGTTGAAAGTTTTTAAAAAAATCTTTTATTTAGGTTTTTTATAGTCAAGAAATTCTGTAAATAAAGAACTATTACAAAAAAAAAGTAAAGAAATTACACCTCAACATAATACCAATTATTCTATATTGTGTACTTCTCCTAAGCTTTTCTGGTTTTGCTGTCAACAGTGATACTTTTATTTCTCAAATACCTTCTTATCAACTACAGCACTCCATACACAATATCTGAATTCTTACTAAGCTGCTATTTAAGTTTAAGTACTTATATTAACTAGAGGCAGATAGGAGTGAAAGCTTATCTTCTGTACTCTAATCTTCCTCTCAAGACTTAAAAAAATCCATGGGGTTGCTATCACCTTTGGGGCCTTCAATCCAAGGCAAAGGGGACAGGGAGATAGAGAGAGGAACCCTGTGAGAGGGGAACCAGGAAGGGGGCAGCATTTGATATATAAATACACAAATAATTTTTTTTAAAATCCCATGTACTCTACTAAGAAAAGTAAAGGTATAATATGAAAATCAAATAAGTTAATGAATAACTGAAAAGCAAAATTATGCAAACTCAGAAGAGGGAAAAATGCCTTTCTTGGCTCTGTAATCTTTTTATTTTTTTCCTTAAATGTCAAAATTTTTAAAATGGTGCTAATTAGTTATTATTCCCAATAATAATAAAATAAACAATTTTAAACGTAGACTAAATAGGGCAAAAAACATTTCTCAGAAATCATGTGGCCAGTTTTGACAACTAGGATAATGGCTTATATTTTAAATCATTTCCACTTTAACTCACAATCGGAAGCATATATTAGTGTATCTACCATAACAGAAGCATTTCAGTACATGCACATTATACATCTTCACATGGAGAACGTACTCTAGTATTTTTTCATCTCTATTATGTTTCTGTTTCTTTGTCCATGCTGATTGACACTTTTATAATGATTGTATGGCCCACTACAGGGTCCCAAATCCTGACTATACAGTCACTGCTCTAGAACCACAGAGCCAAGTATGTGACAAAATACTCATCAATGTTTTCATTCCTTCCTCACCATTTATCTGTACCCACCAAAATCAAGCATATGAAAAGTTCATTAAAACTTTTGAGATCACTGTACACTGTGTCCTATACACCACATCAAATTCCTCTATAAAAGCTATATAAGTTATCAAAATACAATGCATAGTGAATCATCAAAGAATATACCTTTCATACCATTGTGGAACCTGTTACTTTGGGGGTACAGTGAGCATAAAGCTCTGCCCTTCCTTTCAATTGTGCTAAAATATGGAAAAGGTGCACAAACAGAAAGCTTGGATCCCCAAACACAAGTCTCTAGGGTTTCAGGGTCAGTGACACCAAAGCTCTTCTTCTTTGGAGACTAAAGCTAGATGGAAATAGTAAAGACAGTGGAACTAGGTTCCATTAACTGTCACTAATGGATCACCTTATAAACTTACTTACCTAAGTCCTTCCTCATCTCCTCTTGTGACAGGACGCTGGATTATTCTATTCCACCATTCTCTATTAATAAATGGCTGAAGTTTTAAAAAGGCCATAAGAGCCCACATGTCTCTTAAAGAATTATGGATAGGAGTACCTAAAACAAAACAAATAAATGATCAAGACAGGAAACCATTATAACTCTTAAAAATAAATTGATTTTGTGGTGCTAGGGAATCAAATCTAGACCTCACACATGCCAGGCAAGAACTCTGCCACTGAGTTATAGTTCTGCAACCAGAATATTTACCTGGTCCAATGAGACAAGCGATAGCTGAAATTGGACATTGTATTAGGCACACACTAACTAAGGTTCTCATTTACTTAACATGGCAAGTGTTTGACACACTGAGTCATCTCTTCAGTCTTGATTTCTTTTTCAGATAATTAGCTATTGGTGTGCACATTTGTGTGTATTGGGACGGTGGTATTGGGGAAGGCTGTGCTGTAAATGTCATGACCAGCAGAAAAACAATCTAACCTGGGTGAGGTAAGAATTCGGGTCGGCATGACATAGCCAATGTTAGGTCAAAATTTCTGAAATCTGACACTAGCTGGTTTATTTTAGACATTTAAATACAGTATAATTTGGGGGGAAAAAGTTTCCTGGTAAAAACCATCCAAATTCCATGTGCATAATAAAGCTTAAGGCATGACTACATTGAATCTCTTTTGAAAAAAGTGCATGTGACCATGAAAATTGGCTCTATAATTTAAGGGGATAGAATCTGGTGTGGTCTCTGACAAAGATAAGAGTTCAGCAGAATATAAACTACATGTAGCATTTACTGACATCCTTACTGACTGAGAAACAAAACTAAGGAAAAACATTCTGGGGAGCTGGGTAAAGTCTGTCCCCACCAGGTCACTAACAACATCCTCTCCCAGCCTTCTGAGTGGAGAACAGGTATTCATTTCCTTCCCTGAGAAGATAGCTCTGCTGATTAACAATATTGGTTTCTCCAACGCTTATCAATGACCACCCATACCCCCCCTATATCTTCCCATTTCTCAGTTTTGAAAGACAAGGGAGTGTCCGTATAAAGGCCGTGGCTGAATGTATTGCCTCTGTGGTTAGAAAGCAGTAAGAGAATTAAAAGAACAGCCAATAGAAGACCAAGAAAATGGAAAGCCATCTTAGCAATGATGGCCATTCAAAGGTCACCTGAGAAATTTTGTCTATCTTTTTATGTAAATCAGTAATTTGACCATCTGTAAAATCCGACACAGTAAAGCAACACATGCCAGGAAACTGTTGACAATCAAGATTATATATACTTGAACAGCAAATAATCTATAGTAGCTCTATTTTGCAAAATTGTGGTCACCATTGGTATATAAAAATGGTACTGAGTTTTGGATGTTGATTTTGTATCTGGTAACTTTGACTCTGAATTCATTCAACTGCCCAGAGACCACATAAAGACAGACACAGTAGCATTCATCAGTAATCTCAGGAATCTAACAAGGTGAAGGATATTTACAGTGAAAACTATTAAGATATCAATGAAAGAAACTGACAAAAACATAAAAAGACATCACTTGTTCATGGATTGAAAGAATCAGTACTGTGGGAGGTGGAAAGGAGCTGGAAGGAGCTGGAAGGAGCTGGAGAACATAAAAGCATGACCAGAACATATTATGAAAAACAAAAACAAAACAACAACCTTTTTATCCAGTGGGAGAAAAAAACAAAAACAAAAACGACACCAGCTTTGTGTAGTATAATCCTTGGGAATGCTACTGGGCAAACGGAGCAAGTGTGTACAAAACGAAACCAAACAACAACCACCAAAACAAACAGACTACTGCCAACTTATCTTCAACAAATGTACTAAGGCACACCACTGATAAAATGACAAATCTCAATATATTGTATAGGGAAACTGGATAAATTTAAGCAGACTGACGAGACTAAGCCAGGTATAAAACCCAATTCAAAATGGACTAAAATTTTAATTGTAAAACCTGAAGTTATGAAGCTACTAAGAAAATGGGTAAAATTCACACACACACACACACACACACACACACACACACACACACACAATTTTGAAATTGACCACTTAGAAATCAAAAGAAGATTGGTGGTCACCAGAGACTGAAAAGGGTACTAGAGAAGGGAAAAAGGGCTAAGACTGTTCAACTGTTACTAAGGTACAGCATGGCAAGAAAAGTAAGTTCTATTGTTTTTACTGCACAGTAAGGTGATTATAGAAAAACAATGGACTATACATATTCTAAAAGCTAGAAGAAATTATTTTGAATGCTTTTGCTACAAAAATAAATGAGGAAACAGATATTATTGCACTAATTTAAGAATGATACAGTGAGGGAGACACCCTATCCTGAGCCATCCTAGAGGAGCCACTGCACTCAGAGCAGCGGGTAAGAACCCTCTTCCACTACCCTATGCCCCAGAGTTACAACTGGGAGCCAGGGATGCTCAGGTTCCATCAACAACCCAAACCCCGCCCCTCCGGAATACCACTTCCCTTCCACCCCTGGCCTGGTCCTTTTGGCTGGGGCAGACACCTAGCTGGTCTGTTACTGTGCAGACACCCTATCCTGAGGCATCCTAGAGGAGCCACTGCACTCAGAGCAGCAAACACCATACCCTGAGCCATTCTAGAGGAGTCACTCCACCCAGACCAGTGAACACCTAGCTGGTCTGTTCCTGTGAAGACACCATATCCTGAACCATCCTAGAGGAAACACTGCACTCAAAGCAGGAATATTTCAGGATTCCAGAGACGGCCAGAGTCCCAGGAGTTCTTCAACCCAGGAGCTTAAGATCACAGGATCACAGAGACCTCTGGACTCTGAGGAGTGCTGTCAGAAGAAAGATAACTGGAAAGACAGACTCTAGTCAGACACAGTGAGTGCAGGTAACACTAGAATTAACCAGATGGTGAAAAGCAAGCGCAAGAACATAAGCAGCAGAAACCAAATGATAATGATAGAGGATTTTAAGAAGGACATAAGTAACTCCCTTAAAGAAGTACAGGTGGACACAGGTAAACAGATAGAAGCCCTTAAAGAAGAAACACAAAAATCCCTTAAAGAATTGCAAGAAAACACAACCAAACAGGTGAAGGAATTAAACAAAACCATCCAGGATCTAAAAATGGAAATAGAAACAACAAAGAAATCTCAAAGGGAGACTACGCTGGAGAGAGAAAACCTAGGAAAGAGATCAGGAGTCATAGACACAAGCATCACCAACAGAATACAAGAGATAGAAGAGAGAATCTCATGTGCAGAAGATACCTTGGAAAACACTGACACAACTGTCAAAGAAAATGAAAAATGCAAAAAGCTCCTAACCCAAAACATTCAGGAAATCCAGGATACAATGAGAAGACCAAACCTAAGGATAATAGGTATAGATGAGAGTGAAGATTTCCAACTTAAAGGGCCAGTAAATATCTTCAACAAAATTATAGAGGAAAACTTCCCTAACCTAAAGAACAAGATGCCCATAAACATACAAGAAGCCTACAGAACGCCAAAGACTAGATCAGAAAAGAAATACCTCCTGTCACATAATAATCAAAATATCAAATGCACAAAACAAAGAAAAAATACTAAAAGCAGTAAGGGAAAAAGGTCAAGTAACATATAAAGGCAGACCTATAAGAATAACACTAGACTTCTCACCAGAGACAATAAAAGCCAGAAGATCCTGGACTGATAGCATACAGACCCTAAGAGAACACAAATGCCAGCCCAGGCTACTATACCCAGCAAAACTCTCAATCACTATAGATGGAGAAACCAAGATATTCCATGACAAAACCAAATTTACACAATATCTTCCCACAAAACCAGCACTTCAAAGGAAAATTGATGGAAAATGCCAACACAAGGAAGGAAATTACAACCTAGAAAAAGAAAGGAAGTAATCTTGCAACCACCCCAAAAGAAGATAGCTACACAAACATAATTCCACCTCTAATAACAAAAATAACAGTAAGCCACAATCATTTTTGTCGTGGTAATTATTTAAAATGGCCTTAGGTCATGCCGACTATCTAAGCTGCAGTAGCTCTGCCTAGCTCAGCCACCATGTTCTGTGGCCAGAGACCATGTGCGCTCTAGAAATGGTCAGCCAGAAACACCAGCCCTGCCACCCATGTGACACCAGCATGGGAGATGGCTCTGCCAACCTTCCACTCTGTCTCCGAAAGGCTGGGCATTGCCCAGACCATCCCGCCAACTATGCAGGCTCAGTACAAATGAGACTCTAATGCTTACAGATTACTCAAAGGCTTTATATGTTTGGTAATGCTCAATAACAATATGCCCATATGAAGACAGTTGATTCCCAATTAGCTAACCTAAATAAAAGTTTTTACCCACGGCTGCTCTCTATACCTGCATGGTTCTCCATCGCACCTCCCTCTCCCTCCCTCCCCCCCCCCCCCGCCCCCCCGCCCTAACCCCCCTCTTTCTCCCCCGAGCTCCTCCACTTACTTTTCCTCTTTCTCTCCTTACTCCTCCCACCCTAGCTCCTGCTACTCATTTTTCCTTAATAACTCTTAACATCAATGGATTCAATTCTCCAATAAAAACATTCAGACTATCAGACTGGATATACAAACAGGACCCAGAATTTTGCTGCATACAGGAAACACACCTCAGTGACAAAAACAGATATTACCTCAGAGTCAAAGGACGGAAAACAATTTTTCAAGCAAATGGTCCCAAAAAACAAGCTGGAGTAGCCATTCTAATACCAAATAAAATCAACTTTCAACCAATAGGAATCAAAAAAGATAAGGAAGGACACTTCATACTCATCAAAGGAAAAATCTACCAAGATGAACTCTCAATTCTGAACATCTATGCTCCAAATGCAAGGGCAACCACATACATAAAAGAAACTTTACTAAAGCTCAAAACACACATTGGACCTCACACAATAATAGTGGGAGATTTCAACAACCCACTCTCAGCAACGGACAGATCATGGAAATAGAAACTAAACAGAGACACATTGAAATTAACAGAAATTATGAACCAAATGGATTTAACTGATATCTATAGAACATTTCAGCCTAAAACAAAAGAATATACCTTTTTCTCAGGACCTCATGGTACGTTCTCAAAAACAGACAATATAATTGGTCACAAAACAGGCCTCAACAGATACAAAAGGACTGAAATAATCCCTTGCATCCTATCAGATCACCACAGACTAAGGCTGGTCTTTAAGAATGACAAAACCAATGGAAAACACACATGCATGTAGAAACTGAACAACGCCAGCGCTCTACTCAATGACGACTTTGTCAAGGATGCAATAAAGAAAAAAATTAAAGACTTTTTAGAATTTAATGCAAATGAGGACACATCATACCAAAACTTGTGGGACTCCATGAAAGCCATGCTAAGAGGAAAACTCAGAGCTCTAAGTGCCTACAAAAACAAACTGGGGAGAGCATACACTAACAACTTGTCAGCACACTTGAAAGCTCTAGAACAAAAGGAAGCAAATACACCCAAGAGGAGTAGACAGCAGGAAATAATCAAACTCAGGGCTGAAATCAACCAAATAGAAACAGAAAGAACTATACAAAATATCAACAAAACCAGGAGCTTGTTCTTTGAGAAAATCAACAAGATAGATAAACCCTTAACCAGATTATCCAGAAGGCACAGAGACAGTATCCAAATTAATAAAATCAGAACTGAAAAGGGTGACATAACAACATTAACTGAGAAAATTAAAAACAAAAAACCAATCATCAGATCCTACTACAAAGGACTATATTCAACACAACTGGAAAATCTGGATGAAATGGATAATTTTCTAGACAGATACCAGGTACCAAAGTGAAATCAGGCCCAGATAAACCATCTAAACAGTTCCATAACCCCTAAAGAAATAGCAGCAGTCATTAAAGGTCTCCCCACCAAAAAAAGCCCAGGAACAGATGGTTTTAGTGCAGAATTCTATCAGACCTTCAAGGAAGACCTAATACCAATTCTCTTCAAACTATTCCACAAAATACAAACAGAAGCAACACTACCCAATATATTCTATGAAGCTACAATCGCACTCATACCCAAACCACATAAAGACACAACAAAGCTTTCTTCAGACCAATCTCCCTTATGAATATTGATGCAAAAATACTCATTAAAATTCTAGCAAACCGAATCCAAGAACACATCAAAAAATAATCCATCATGATCAAGTAGGCTTTATCCCAGGAACGCAGGAATGGTTCAATATTTGGAAATCCAACAATGTAATCCACTATATAAACAAACTCAAAGAAAAATGATCATCTCACTAGACACTGAGAAAGCATATGACAAAATTCAACATCCCTTCATGGTAAAAGTCTTGGAAAGATAAGGAATTCAAGGCCCATATCTAAACAAGGTAAAAGCTATATACAGCAAGCCAGTAGCAAATATCAAACTAAATGGAGAGAAACTTAAAGCAATCCCACTAAGATCAGGGACTAAACAAAGCTGCCCACTCTCCCCCTACCTATTCAATATAATACTGGAAGTCCTAGCCAGAGGAACTAGACAACAGAAAGAAGTCAAAGGGATACAAATAGAAAAGGAAGAAGTCAAAATATCTCTATTTGCAGATGATATGATAGTATACTTAAGTGACCCCAAAACTTCCTCCAAAGAACTCCTAAACCTGATATAAACACTTCAGCAAAGTGGCTGGTTATAAAAGCAACTCGAGCAAATCAGTAGCCTTCCTCTACGTGAAAGATAAACAGACTGAGAAAGAAATTAGGGAAATAACACCCTTCACAATACTCACAAATAATATAAAATACCTTAGTGTGTATCTAACAAAGCAAGTGAAAGATCTGTATGACAAGAACTTCAAGTCTCTGAAGAAAGAAATCGAAGAAGACCTCAGAAGATGGAAAGATCTCCCATGTCCATGGATTGGCAGGATTAATATAGTAAAAACAGCCATCTTGCCAAAAGCAATCTACAGATTCAATGCAATCCCCATTAAAATTCCAACTCAATTCTTCACAGAGTAAGAAAAAGAAATTCTCAAATTCATTCGGAATAACAAAAAACCCAGGATAGCAAAAATTACTCTCAACAATAAAACAACTTCTGGAGGAATCACCATCCCTGGCCTCAAGGTGCACTACAGAGCAACAGTGATAAAAACTGTATTGGTACAGAGACACGCAGGAAGATCAATGGAATAGAATTGAAGATCCAGAAATGAAAGCATACACCCACGGTTACTTGATATTTGACAAAGGAGCTAAAATTGTCCAGTAGAAAAAGGACAGCATTTTCAACAAATGGTGCTAGTTCAACTGGAGGACAACATGTAAAAGAATGCAAATCTATCTATTTTTATCTCCTTGTACAAAGCTCAAGTCCAAGGGGATCAAGGACCTTCACATAAAACCAGATACACTGAAACTAACAGAAGAGAAGGTGGGGAAGAACCTCGAATTCTTGGGATCAGAGCAAAAGTTCCTGAACAGAATACCAATGGCTTATGGTCTAAGAGCAAGAATTGACAAATGGGACCTCATAAAATTGCAAAGTTTCTGTAAGGCAATGGACACTGTCAACAGGACAAAAAGGCAACCAAGAGATTGGGAAAAGATTTTTACCAATCTTACATCTGATAGAGGGCTAATATCCAATATATACAAAGAACTCAAGAAATTAGATTCCAGACAACCAAATAACTCTATTAAAAAATGGGGTATAGGAGCTAAACAAAGAACTCTCAACTGAGGAAACTCAAATGGCCAAGAAGCACCTAAAGAAATGTTCAGCATCCTTAGTCATCAGGGAAATGCAAATCAAAATAACCCTGAGATTCCACCTCACACCAGTCAGAATGGCTAAGATCAAAAACTCAGGTGATAGTAGATGCTGGCGAGGGTGTGGAGAAAGAGGAACACTCCTCCATTGTTGGTGGGACTGCAAGATGGTGCAACCACTTTGGAAATCAGTGTGGCGGTTCCTCAGAAAATTGGACATAGCATTACCTGAGGATCCAGCTACACCACTCCTGGGCATATACCCAGAAGATGCTTCAACATATAACAAGGACACATGTTCCACTATGTTCATATGAGCCTTATTTATAATAGCCAGAAGCTTGAAAGAGCCCCGATGTCCTTCAACAGAAGAATGGATACAAACAATGTGGAACATTTAAACAATGTAATATTACTTAGCTATCAAAAACAATGAATTCAAGAAATTCTTAGGTAAATGGATGGAACCAGAAAATACAATCCTGAGTGAGGTAACCCAATCACAAAAGAACACACATGGTATGTACTCACTATTATTGGATTTTAGCCCAGAAGCTTGAAATACCCAAGATTCAACTCACAGACCACATAAAGCTCATGAAGAATGAAGACCAAGTCGGGGCGCTTCGGTCCTTCTTAGAAGGAGTAACAAAATACTAAAGGGAGCAAATATGGAGACAAAGTGTAGGACAGAAACTGAACGAGTGGCTGTCTGCAGACCATTCCACCTGGGTATCCATCCCATGTACAGTCACCAAAGGCAGACGCTGATGTGGACGTCAGGAAGTGCATGCTGACAGGAGCCTGATATAGCTCTCCTTAGAGGTCTGCAAGAGTCTGATATACTCAGAGGTGGACGCTCACAACTAACCATTGAACTGATCAAGGGGTTCCTAATGGAGGAGTTAGAGAGAAGACTGAAGGAGCTGAAAGGATTTGCAACCCCATGAGGAGAGCAACAATATCAACCAACCAGAGCTCCCAGGGTCTAAACCACCAGCCTAGGAGCACTTAGGGAGGGACCCATGGCTCCAGCTGTATATGTAAGAGAGGATGGCCCTGTAGGTCATAGGTTGGAGAGGAGATCCTTGGTCCCATGAAAGCTGGAAGCTGTATGTGGAGGAATTCGAGGGTGAGGAGGTGGGATTGGGGGAGTAGGTGGGGGCACATCCTCATAGAAGCAGGAGGAGGGGGGATGGGATAGGGGGTAGGGGGTTCCTGGCTGGGTGGGGGGGGTGGGTGTGATGGGGTAAGGGGATAACATCTGAAATGTAAATAAAATATCCAATAAACAAAAAAGAAAGAAAGAATGATATAGTGAGGTCCCAGAGCACACTAGAGTTCATTAAAATGTATAATGTTAAGGCATTAATTTAAAAACTAACAAAAAAACAAAACTGAGGGCTGGGAGTTAGTTGAGCAGATAAAGTGCTTGCTGCAAGGAGGGACTGAAGTTGGATCCACAAAATGTACACAAATTCTGAGTGTGTACAGCAGCCTAACTGTAATACCAGTGCTTAGAATGTAGCAGCCACTGGAGAGCTAGCCTAGGAATATTGTGAACTCTGTATTCAGCTAAGAGATCCCTCCTCAGTGAAAAGGTAAAGAATGATTCAAAAGGATGCCTGATACTGATATCAGTCCCTATGTGAATGCACACATATTTGAATATGCACCTGCATGTACTGCATGTGTGCGCACGCACACACACGGAGAAATTTAAAATAACAAAAAATAAAATTGAATGCTATAATTACCAGTCAATATCCATCTTTTCTCTGCCTCTAATGCAAGTACTGCTCTTGTCTGGTGAGCATTTGGACTTCGTATGGCGTGGCCATCATCCAGCATCACTCTTAACCACTTTATGCCATATAATGGATTATCATCATCTTTAGTCTGCAATAGAGATTTCAAATGAATTCAAAAAGCACGTAAAATAACACAGTATGTGTTTGTTAAATAATAGTTTTGATCTTTAGTACTAATTCTTAAAAGGTTCTTGACACTATTAAGTACTCCAAAGACTAAATCAGTGAACACTTAAGAGCCATCAATATTATCTCTATTTTACAGCTAAAAACACAAGATATTAAATATGTTGCACAAAGTGCCACTAAGAAGCACTAGCTCCTTCTCCAAGCTAAGAAGTTGACTGAGACATGCACAATACAGTCAACCATTTTGCCTCAGACAGAAATGTGACAGTAAAGCCGTCCCTTATAAAGAAATTTTCAATGTAACAACCTTCCTTTCTTTCATACAAATGGTAATGTTCTTTCTAGAACACTGAGAGTTTAACTATAGTATTTCCAAAGTAACTTGAATCGTTAAGGAAATTAACAGGCTCATGAAAGAGCTGAGAACCTAATTAATGACTACTATAAATAGAAAGTTTATCTTCAAGGTGCAACATTAATCAAGTAATAACACAAAAGAACATTTCCAGAACATCAAAAAGAAATTTATGTACAAATTGTAATGAACCCTAGAGAAAATCCAAATTTAAAATTTTAACCAAAAACTTCTTAAATGAAAAATGTTTCCAATATCTCAAACATGCTATTTTACAGACATTCTTAAGTATTTTCAAAGTCAGAAAATAAACAGTATACACTATGAATTCTAAATAGAGTAATTTAGAAACATGAAAAACAACAATTAAATTCAACCTTAAACAATCTCTAGGAAGGGCTTGAGAATAATTAAGTGGTTAGGAGTGCTTATTGCTCTTGCAAGAAGACTGAAATTCTGTTCCCAGTACCCACCTCATGTGACTCACAAATACCTGTAATTCCAGCCAGCTATAGAGACCTCCAAAGACACTATCACTCAACACACACACACACACACAAATTGAAAAACAATAATAAATATTTTTAAAGGCTATAGGTACCTGCAGACTTAGTTCATACTCATGAATTAAAATATTATAGGTAGTCAAAATAATATCCTGTGTTGAAAGCCAGGCTGAATCTCTAATACGATCAGGACCATAATAAACATAGATATTCAACTCCACTTCTGAATTTATATGTTGTCCAAACTGGTCCTAAAAGAAAAGTACAAATATTTTAATAGGAACTAGATGAGTATCAAGTTTGCCATCTAAACTAAGGATAGCCATTAGTAATAAGTATCATTTTGTCATATCATAAAACTGACAAACATATAATGCACATCATATAATTTTTGCCTACCCTACCAATTTCATGTTTTTTCTATTGAGTTATTACTGTGTAGCTCAAAGTCAGAATTCCCATTATTCCTATATAGTCTCAAACCCATCATCTTCCTGTCTCTAGTTCTCAAGCACTGAGATTACAGGTATATCGATCTAGCATATTTTCATTTTTAAGTAAAAAAAAAAGTCTAAGTTTCTTTGTAAACAACAGACTTAGATGATTTTTGAGCGAGGGAGAATAGAAGATTAGACTAGGGAGAAGATGCCATGGGGAAAGCCGGCAAATTCTTAGATGAGAACTGATGTTGTAAGACCAGACAAGCAGAAGATGGAACAGAATGGAAAAAGCAAGTATGAGAGAAAGATGTAACAAGCAGGAAGCCTGGGACATGGGACATAATTATGGGATGTGAGGAAAACAGGTAAGATAGTGATGTCCTTATACTTCAGATGGCTGTGTGGAAGAACTGAATGATAAAGGTATAATTTACCCAAAGAGGAGGAAGGAAGAAAGAGAGTATTTGTGATTTTTGGTCATTATAAACCAGTTGTTCTCAACCTTCCTAATGCTATAACCTTTTAATGCAGTTCTTCCTGTTATGGTAACCCCAACCATAAAATTACTTTTGTTGCTACTTCATAACTGAAATTTTCCTACTGTTATGAATGGTAACATAAGCATTTTTGAAGATAGCAGTTTGCCAAAGGAGTCACAATCCATAAGTTGAAAACCACTGCTACAGGCTATCTAGAATACACCACAGAACATAAACATTGGCCTACAGGTGCAAGTAAGAGGAGTATATGTGCATATTAGTTATAAACAAACAGCACATACAGCTAGGAATAAGTCTTTAAATATCTTTGTTTTAAAGAGAACATGTACACAGAGAAAACACAGTGTTTAGGGATCCAACCTACCAACTACTCTATATTTTTAATGAAGGAATGACATATCTGAGATAAGGTGCACTCTGGTAATTCTTGGGTCTTTTCATGATCAACTGTTTTTTTTTCTTTTTTTAAGATCACTATTTAATCAAGATGGCCTTAAAACTCTCAAGCTCCTGATGGTAATTTTATATGAACAAGCAAAACAGCAAAGCAAAAGAAACACAATGGTAGCCCGAAAGTCACAAGAACACACGCAGATGATGAAAAGTCACAAGTACATCCACAGAAGACAAAGAGTAGAAAGAGCTCAGGTAGCAAATGTGAGTGCTCACCTGTAACTCACACACATTGTCCACACAGAGTGACTCCCATATTGATGAAAATCAATATGCAAAATACTCTCCAGAGTAGGGGAAAAACTGGAGACCATGGAGCACACATCAATGAGGTCAAGCTGTCAATTCTGACAGCTGAAAATAGAAGCCAATTCAGTGAGTAAGGTTTTTGCAAAGGGAGTTTCCATAGCAAATGAGAATAAGCACTAGATTACAACAGACTGAACAGGAAATGTGCATAAAACAGAAAAGACAAAGAATGCAAAGGTAGCACAAAATCTGAAATATAGATAAAAAATAGAATTTCTTTTTATAGTAGTCTGGTAGAGAGGAAATTCAGTATGAGGGAGGAATTTTTAATTTAAAAATCCGAATCAAATGGGTGACAATGAACTGGAACAATATATATTTATAAAAGGATAAGAGGTAGAATGAAAGAAAATCAACATTTCTGGACAAGGAACAACAATTGCTATGTCTTTAGACACTATGCAAAATCAATAGAGGATGAAATAAAAACTTGTCACGTTTTTACTAAATAAAAATAAAAACTTGTCATGCTATAGAGGAGAAATAAAAGATAACATAAAGAAGAAATGCATTAAGTTGATGCCTAAAAAAAGAGTCAAAAAAATCAAGAAAAAAAAAAGATGAATATACAATCAAAAGAAGGCAGTGGGTCTGGCAAGTCACTAGGTATCTGTCCCAATGCAATTCTGACAGCTGAAAATAGAAGCCAGTTCAGTGAGTAAGAACATAAGGAAGAAACTAACACCCAAGCGCTACACCAGAGAAGGAATACAGAAGAGCAACAATTTCAATGTGAAACACAATTAAAAGAAATATTTAAAATGAGCATCTGAGTATTTTTCACGAAGAAACCCAGTGGGATAAGACTGAATAGCTAAGAGAAGGAGAAAAGAAGAAAAAGGAAGTGGGAAAAATGGAATAAGACATAAAAATTAAGGCAACAGTTTTATGAAAAGCATGACTTCCTCTTCCTGAGATAGGACAGAAGGAGACAGCTATTCTTGAAGGCAGCAAGAATGAAAGCTCACATCCAGCGGTCTCTATGTTTATTTAAATGCTTCCAAAATAGTATTTCATTATAAAACAAAGCTTGAGGTTCAAATTGGAGGGGATATCAATGCAGCTGCTTCTTACATATAACATACAAAATCCCAATGCAATGTTCTTAAAAAAAGAAAAACAATTTGCAGGGCAAAAACATACTTTTCTGGTTGGTAACCTTAAAACAATAAACTATAGGGTCAACATGTCAGTGACCACATTCAAGCTCTCTCTTGGCTGGATGGCCTTAGTCAAGAAAGTTAACCTCTCTGTTTCTATTTGTTCATCTGGACCGTGAGAATGGTGAGGATTAAGTGAGAAAAATCTATGAAAAGAAATGAAGAACAAACCAAGCAGGCAGAAGCACATGTAATGTTACACACTGATATAAAAGTTGCCACTAGTGGAATTCTCATACTTCCAAAACTCAGTATCTAAATAGAACAGGAGTGTTAAATTATAAGTATGTTCCTCTTGGGGGCAACAAAAATGGCAGAAGTACAAATCAAAGCCTATATTAGCAATTAATAAGTTAATCATATAAGCCTTCAAAAAAGAGTACCTACTTCAATAAATGTAATCCACTTAACAGATATAAAATGAATGCCACATATATTTAGAACAATACGTTCTTACAGACAGATATGATAATATCCCGCTTTAAGCTAAAAGGCTTTAGACTTACAATCCACTTGCCCAGCACAGAGAGTGGACAGATGATCAATGTTGATCTTATCCTCTTTCCAGTGTCACATTTCTTTGAGCCCGCCATCATATATGCGCCTAAAATAACAAGGTGTTGACAGACTTGTTGTTAGACTAGCTTTTTTTTAATCTTGAAATATATATCTCAGTAAAGTCCTAGCAATCATCATCTATACAGGACAAAATCCAGAAGAATTAAAAAGCAGGAAATTGCCAGGCAGTGGTGGCGCACGCCTTTAATCCCAGCACTTGGGAGGCAAAGGCAGGCGGATTTCTGAGTTCAAGGCCAGCCTGGTCTACAGAGTGAGTTCCAGGACAGCCAGGGCTACACAGAGAAACCCTGTCTCGAAAAACAAAACAAAACAGCAAGAAATGGGCTGAAGGTGGGGGTGGGAATGCTGGTGTACACCTTTAATCCCAGCACACAGGAAGCAGCGGCAGGCAGATCTTTGTGAATTCAAGGCCATTCCGGTCTACAGACTTCCAAGATAGCCAAGGCTATTTGACTTGAAAAACAAAAAACAAACAAACAAACAAACAAAAAACTGGAAATGGACTGTTTACAGTCTTACTCCATAAAACCAAAAATGTAATAGTAATTATTTGTCAGCAAGAATCAAAGAACTGTAACAAAACACTGAGGGCAGTCTTCCCTCTTCAGTTAATTTTTTCTAGAAACACCCTCATAAACACAACCAAAGGTGTTTCTATGGTGACTCTAACCCCAATCAAACTGACAAAGAAAACTGACGATCACAACCCTATCTTTTGTCAATTTAACACATTAGCACATCACTTTAAGTCCTAATATTCCACCACTGGCCCCTGAACTCTGATGTTCATCTCAAAATTGAAGATGCACTCAGTTCATCTCTAAAAGTCCCCACAGTCTTTCTGAACAGTCCCACTACTGTTCAATTGTTCAAAGGCTCTTCTGAAACTCAGGACAATTTCTTACATACGGACTTCCTCACAAACATCCTAAGGTAGCATCTTCCTCATCCCAGAGCTTCTACTCTAACTAAAGTCATGCCTTCCCTCCCAGCTTTGTAGAATGCCCTCCCAGCGCTCCTTCAGGAAGTCTGACCCTGGCACACACACACTTTCAAGCCTCAGCAGCTTTTTGAAATCTTGACCCAAACTTTCATGAGCCTTTCCTTGCACGTTTTGCATGCCTACAAAACCAGTACCATACTTACAACACTCTCAAGTTCTGTAGCCAGCCCAAAATATAACCTTGGAAAAAAGCTGCATCACCTTTTGTGTACCCCTCTAAGGCTGACCTTAAGAAAACGGAACTCCAGGTGGCAACAAAGGAGCAGACAGCTCCTTCAGTGGCATTCTGTACCTTGGCTCTCTCCTTTCAAATTTATCTGCATTGTTTCAAGCTGGATCCATCAATGAGTAAGGTCTTGCTTTCTGTGTATTTCTATGGCACAAATGCAAGGTTCCTCTATAATGTTAACCTCTGTAACAATTATAGTTGCACTCTCCATATTTCCTATTCTCAACTGTAAACTCTCATATTCCTTCTTTGCCAAGCTGCGCATTTGCATTAACTTTCTGTCCCATTTGCAGGTCTCTCTGTCAACCTAAGAGCAGTGAGCAGTAACCATAGTATAGCCTAAGTGCTAACCTGTATTGAAATTCCTGTGCCAAACAATTAGCCAACCAATGCTTTTTAATTCAAGACCACTCAAATGCTCAAGATGTACACAGAATTATGCAGATGCTTTGTCAGAAAAAAAAACAAAATAGGCCACTAGCCCAAGAAAGTCCTTTGAAACCCGATGAGCCAAGTCCCTACTATCCTCATTTCTCTCAGCATTCTGATCTTCCAAATTCCCACCAGAATGGCCCAGCCATTCTACAGCCTAGAGTTCCAAAATCTTTCACATTCTTCCTGCAAACCAATGCTAACGCTTACAAACCACTGTCAGGCTTATCAAGCAACAATACTAATTTTCTGTTAGTTTTCATGTCAAAATACCTGACAAAAGCAAATTTAAAATGAAAATCCAAGGATTGACTTTGGCTCACAAATTGAGAACAGAGCCTGTTACGGATGGGAAGTCATAGCACCAAGAGCATGAAGCAGCTGGTCACACAGCACCCACACCATGAAGTACAAGTTTATGTTGCTGCTCAGCTCACTGCTTCCTTAAGTTCAGGACCAGTCCATAGAATGGCACTGTCTATATATATTCAAGGTGGATTTTCCCTCTCTAATTAAATATTTTTAGATTTATTGTTAATTATCTGTGTGCACATGATACGTGTCTGTGTGAGTGCCTACAGAGGTTAAACGTAGCTGGATTCCCTGGATTTGGGATTACAAACAATTATGAGCTATCCAAGATAGCTACCGGGAACTGAATGTGGTGCCTCTAGAAGAGCAGCACGTGCTCTTAACCCCTAAACCATCCAGTTCCAAAGTATATCATTTTTAAACAGGCTACACTCAATTCTACTTTTATACACATTCTACTGTTTTATCTTCTTTGTAGCATTTAATATCTAAAGTCTTTTAATTATTCATTGCATCCCTTGTGACTGTTCAATAAACCATGGAAATAAGATCTGGTGCTATAAATGGAGACCACGGCACAGAAATACAACTGTCTCAGACACCTATCCTTAATTCAATCTCTTTCCATCATATTCATAGGCAATCTTGGGACATTCTTAAGAAAAGAAAATCTTAATCCTACTAAAAACTCTATCTTTATTTAAATTTATCCAAGTTAAGCTTTGAACCAATCACAAATGACTTTGTTCCTTAACACCTCTTGTATTCAGGAGAGACTTTTTCCATCACACTCTGACCTGTCTAAAACAAACACAGTAAGAAAGGCAGAACAGAATGCTATGCCAGCTTTCTTCCTTTTCAGTATTTTCTAAATTTGTCGTAGTATACTTGATATTGTTATTTAAATTTTTTTCATTAAAAATAAGGGAAAAGGTAAAAAAAAAAAACTAGACTCATGGATCCTTTTTGTTGCAGAAGCAAAAGAAATGCATGAGCAAATTTTATATCTTCTTTAATCTTAGATGATTTTGATAAGAAATCACTGAATCTTTAAAATTCTTTACTGTGCCTTCTTAGGCACTTTCTATATTCTGCAACTTGAGAGGATATATTATTAAATATAGTATTTGGTAAACAATATTGGCATTTATAACATTAAGCATACCTCTGTAGCTCAGAGAAATGACGTAATCAAGACCCAACTATTACTTCTCTTAAATGAAGTGAAAGCAGAAGACAACAGATGTATAGTGATTCAGCTCTCAGAAACGAAGGCTCTACCAGTGTGAAGCTGTTCCTATCAGTGGTGAGCTTTTTTCCAAATATAATACAATTTCTCAGCTAACTAGAAAGACATATGATTTGAAATAGGAATATAAAGCATATTTCAAAGATGAAGGAAATAAACAGTACTTACTCATTCTTTTATATGTGTACAATGTGAATGCTACCATGAAGACACTCCAAACCTGTTCATTACTGTGTGTGTGTGGAAGGGGTAACGTGTGCAAAAAATACAAAGTTTTATTCAAGTTATTTTATAAGTAATAGAAAATGACTTTTGCTTGAAGTTTATTTAAATATTATATCTTAGATTTTTAATTGAAATTATTCATTGAGTTTGAATTATTTAATTCATTTAACACATATGGTAAGTTCATGAAAAGCCCAAACACAGCAAAGAGTTCAAACAAAACTGAATTTTATACCCATTACTAAAATCAAGCTAGCAAGATGCCAATTAATGAGGTTTTACTTTAATAATTTTTACATGCAGATTATAGAAGTTCTGAGAAGATGTAATATATACTTATCTTTTACTCTACTTTTACTATCTAACTGTGCATTTTTTCAGTTGGCCTAAAATAAAACAAGAATATAAAATGGGCACATCAGGAGATTAGAATACATGACAGAGTATCAATCAAATCATATTACCTTTCATTTGCTGGGGTAGTTCACTTGTCTCGATTTCCCCTGAATCACTGCTTTCAATATGCTGCTCAGTAATTTTTACTCTGAAATTGAAAAACTCAAAATAAAATATAATAAAGTAATATGCTTATTAAATGCAATACAGAAGTTGCTTAGCTCCAAATTGCTTTTTAAAAAATTTTTCAATATGTAAGAGTGGAGGGCCCTGCTGGGCATAGGTGGAAGAAGAGAACCTTGACCGAATGAAGGCTGGATGCCCCAGGGGGTGGGAATTTTGAGGGTGGGGGGGGTGGGAGTGGGGGGGTAGATAGAGGTTACATCCACAGAGAAGAAGGAGGAGGGGTGAGGGGATTGGGGGTTCCTGGGTGGGTGGGGGATGGGGTAAGGGGACAACATAGGAAATGTAAATAAAACATCCAATAAAAATTAAAAAAAAAATTTTCAAAAAGTCTTCTATTTGCTAAGCAAGTCAACCTGCTAAGATCCTTTTGTTTTATGAGTGGACAGCTGCATTTGTAAATTCTAATGCCACTATGCCTACATTTGAAAAGGCATTCCTATAGAGTTCGGTGTTCAGTAGTTCAATTAAAACACTGATGTAACATTAAAACCAACAAGAACTAGTAATGTAGAAGATTGAAAATGACAACTCCATGCAGACTGTTAAGTTCACAGGATGTAAAGCAGGGACTGTGAGAGCCACTGTCATGTGAGGGGAATGATGACAGGCAAGCACTAGCTTCTGGAGCGAAGAAAGGAAACACTGAATAACCAGCACAGATATGTCCAGAACTGATTCTAAAAATACTCAAGTCTCAACTGGGGCATGCTCTATAGCTGTAAGAGGCCTGAGAAAAGCTATAGAGGATAAGAATCTAAGTTTAGGACAATGAGAGTTTTAGGTAGCCCCACTCTCAGTACAAGGTAATTTATAAGGCAGAAAAGGAAGGCAGGGAAGGAAGGCAGGTGTCCGTAGAACCAGTTTGTAGAGCATCTGTGCAAATTCTCAGACAGAGGCAGGGGCAAAGTAAAGACAAAATTAGCAGCTTGGATAGATCTAGAGGTAAATGTCCTCTCTGCATCACCCAGAGCAAGTGTCAGGGAACTATTGTCAGCCCTAGAATGCAGAGCACTCTTAACGGGTGGGAGTGGGGCAGATACTGATCCGGAGCACACAGTATCTGAAGTGGTAGAAATATGGTCTGAATCATGGACTAGAGTAAGTTTCACTAGTTCCCAAGTAGTAGGATATATAGTATCAAAAACTTAAAACAATGCCCACAAAGCATAGTCTCCAGATACAAGGCAAACAACAGAAAGATCAGCTAACACAGGAAACTTAGTATCCTAAAGGTTCTTCTATGACCAGAAAGCCCCAGCCTAAATAGAGAAGGAATCATGTAACAGTATAGAGATAGGATAATTACCTATACACATGAAAATATTGGCTCAGATATCCTCTGTAGTGCATTCAGGTATGTGACCACATAGAGGAAATCACCTGTATACACTAAAGTGACTTCACTACATGCAGTATGTAACTGCAAATAGGCAGCAAGTGAACACAAATGGCTTTAGAAAAGGTAGATACACTGGGCTGTGTGGGCCTTGTTGACAGTCAGTCATAAACAGGGAGGAATTCATGGGATGGTATTCCTACCTGCTGAATTAGTGGATATGGATAGATTTGGGAGGGAGTTTGATTGTGTACCTACTTATACACCTACCAAGTTTCAACCAATAGTTCAAACCCATAGGCACAAAGATGGCCCTGCTTAAACTCAATGGATCACAAAATAAAACAACAACAACAAAAAAATCATGAATGTAAGAAAGAGATTCTTAGGAAAGTGGGATGTTAGCAGGAATGGGAGAGAGTAGGGCAAAAAAAAATAGTAATGAGAATGCAATTTTCATACATACATACATATATGTATGTATGTATGTACGTATGTAATTGTCAATGAAAAAATTTAATTGTTAAAAACTAATAAGATGAACAGAAGCTAAGAATGACAGAATTTATTTCTGGCCTATATTCACATTCTCAATCTCTCCCTCTCTCTCCCTCTCTCCCTCTCTCTCCCTCTCTCTCACATACACACACGCACACGCACGCATGCAAACATACCTATAACATACGCAAGTAGATACATAGAAAAATGAACAAATACAGACACACAAGAAATTAAGTGAAAATGAAGAAGAAGGAGCAGGAATGACGAGAAAGGCTCCCAAGGGGCAGAGTTGGCCTGAGGCTGGTGAAATGCCCTGTCAGCCTCCTGACAACTAGGACTGCTTGAACTGTATGTGTTTCTTCAACCCTTTCTGTTTCCATTCCTACTTTAATTGAAGCTACCGCATCTCCTCTTCCTTTACTGTTCGCTCTTCTATGTTAATCACTAGTCTCACTCAGAATACTTTTTTCATTCCTATTCTAAGTACCTAATATCTTAGTATACAATGCATCCTTGTTCCTCTACTCTGCAAAATTACTGGAGATGAAAGGGGTTAATTTTTATTGCTATTACTATATTTTCACTGTGAGCCTATCCATCAGTAATCAGTGATCTATAGCTAGTATTCCAGACTAAGTGTAATGCTGGAGACAATAGCTGCTTCCTGAGCAAAAGCTTGGTGGGAAGGAATGGCCAAAACAAATGAACAAAAAAAAAAAAACCAAACAAACAAACAAACAAACAAAAAAGTACCATAGCTTAATCCAACTGTCCTACTTGACTACTGCAAATACTTCAACTGGAAGTGTATGGTCAAGCCTTGCATACATTCTATGCAGAAATGCAAACAATCAAACAAAGATGTTATCTTCAAATATAATCACCTCCACAGCAATGGGTTCCTATGAAAGGGAATTAGAGTGAACTCTAAGACAAAGCATGCAAAAGAATGACTATAAAAAACATTCAATGAAGTGGGAGGACCCTCTAGAAAGTACCAGAGACCTAGGAGCTGAGAGACAAGCATAGAAAGAGCTGAAGAGGAAGGCAACCTCATAAGAAGACCAGCACTCTCAAATAACCCAGACCCCTGGGAGCTCCCAGACACTGAGCCATCAACCAGGCAGCATACATGGGCTGGTCAGAGGTCCCCAGCACATAAACAGCATAGGACTGCTTGGTCTGGCCTCAGTGGGAGAAGACTCACCTAATCCTTGAAAGACTTGAGGTCCCAGGAAGGGGAGAGGCCTGGTGGGGAAGGAGCATCTTCTCAGAGACATTGGGGAGGAGGAATGGGATGAGGAACCGTGCGAGGGAGGACCAGGAGGTGGGGTAATGGCCGGATTGTAAATTAAAAAAAAAAAAAAGCAAAATCAGTGAAAAGCATTCAATGAAATTAAAGACAATATGAAAAAGCTTCCAAATATGTTTAAAGAGAATATAAACAGCAGAATGAAATCACGTCAGTAAGGAGCATGAAAGAACTCAGTGGTTGAAAACACTGAAAAACATCAACCCAAATAGAAACTTGAATATATCAAATCAAAAGCTTGCTGAAAAGCCCCTCCAACAGATCTTGTGAAGACAGAGTATGAGGGCTTTTAGACCAAAACAGACAAATCAGAAAATTCAAAAAGTGACAAGGAAAAAAATAGTAAGAATGAAATAGAAAACAGAAGGTATATGAGACACAATGAAAATACTACATCTACACATTATGAAAAAAAGACAAAAAATTCATTTTTAAGACACAGAAAATAAAACAAAATCCTAACAGAAATGTCCCCAAATCCACAAGGAAAACAGCCTTCCAGAAAGACAGAATGCAACACAAGAGAAAGGGACCTCTCCACACAATGCTGCAGTTAAATTACCGAGTACAGAGAACCTGGAATAATAAAAGCTACAGGAGAGAACTACAAGTCACAGATAAAAGCAGGTCTGTCAGAAGAACAGAACAAATACTCTAAGAGCCAAGAAAGCAGGAAACACTGTACTTTCAAGTTCTGAAAGTCAGTAACTGTCAGGATTATTATTGGTGTATAGTGTATGTACTGATAGATTATTATATCCAGGAAAGCTATTTTTCCTAATTGAAAACTTCTCATGGTGAACATAAATCAAGGGGATTAATGAATATTAAGCCAACCTACAAAAGATATGTGGGAAGGCTCTTACACATTCAAAGGATTAAGCCATGTGAGGCTGTAGGAAAACACAAGCTATACCAGTAGACTAAGGAGGGAAGGAACAGGAAAGTGGAGCAGACCACAAGAACAGTAAGATGACCGGGTTAAGTCAGACTCAGAAAGTAAATAAATGTTCTCTTCCTCTGTGGATCTTAAGATTGTACAAAGATACATATAGCCAGATATACCCAAAAATTCTCCACATACGTTTATATAATGTAAAAGCAAAGGGATACTGAAAGAAAGGAGGTTAGAGTAAAGTGAGGGGAGGAGAAGGAGAGAGAGGAAGGAGAAGAAGATGGACAGGATATGGAGAGTGAAGATGGTCTAAGTATCTGGTACAGAAAAAAAACTGTCTTTATAAAGCATACCAGTACATTTAATATACACCAGTTATGGAAAAATCTTGACAGAGCCTTTGAAAATTGAGTAATAAGAGAAAAAACACTCCAATCTTGTTTAAAAAAAGGGGGGGAATACAAGTATTTCACAAATTCTATGTAGTAAGTGTTTAAGAACAATGGACTTTGGAATTAGACTACTAAGACTCAAATCCTCACTCTATTAATAACTTGATATGACTTCAGGCAAATCGCCAAATTATGTCTGTTTCCTCACTTGGAAACAAACTGTTTCCTCAATAGGAATAAAAATATCACTCACTGTATAGCACAAATGTGACAGTATGCAGAAGCCCTAAAAATATTACTATCTGAAGAGTAAGCATATCTACATTGGCTATAATACACTCAACGGGCTGCTGTTTGTGTAAATTCTCCTTGTTATATAATCCGTTTCCTTTTATCTGATCTGTTCTACCTAATAGTGCTATATTGCATAGGCTCATGACTAGTTCAGTTTTAAGATTTGGCATTTACACATAAAGAAAACAGGGGCTGGTAACGGCACACATCTTTAATCCCAGCACTTGGAAAGCACAGGCAGGCAGCAGATCTCTGAGTTCGAGACCAGCCTGGTCTACAAAGCAAGTTCCAGGATAGCCAGGGATATACAGAAAAACTCTTGTCTCAAAAATAAAACAGCAGAAAAACAAAAACAAAGAAGGAAACTGAGCCAGAGAGATAGTTCAAGGATTACCAGCATGGACTCCTCTTCTAGAGGACCTGAGTTCAATTCCCCATACCCACATAGCCGCTCACAATGATCTATAACTTCAGTTCCAAGAAATCCAATGCCCTCTTCCGGCTTCCTGAGCACCAGGCAAACATGTGGCGCACAGATATACACACAGGCAAACATGTATACACATACAACAATAAAATGATAAAATTTTAACTAGTAAGTAATGATTCTGAGTTCAATTCAAGTGGGAATTAACGAAAGAATCATCAACTAGCCCATGTTTTGTGAGGAATTAATTGATAGTGGATATTTAGACACAAGGTCACATCCATGTGGACTGACGGGAGACCACACTAGATAACAAAACCTGGGGTTTACACCTAGTTGAAAGGGTAAGTGAAGCTTATAAAATTAGATTCAAGGTAAGATCAAATGTGAATGATATCTTTTATCCAAATTCTCTGTAGATTCTAGTCTTTGTTAACAATATAATTCCTCATAAACAACTTTATTATGATTTCCTTTCATCATTTGTTCAAGTAACAAAGAACTAAACTGAGCAAAGAATGATGTGTTATCGTCTTCCACAAACCCTTCAGTTTCATCCCCTAAAATCCAAAGAAAAATTCTTATTGTCTCAACAATTAAAAAAAAAAAAAGTCAAAAAAATATGGGGAAAGCAGTAATTATTAAAAATTAATTAAAAATTATTAAAAATTAATGAATCACATATTTTAGAGATTATTACTACTTTCACTTTTAAAATGAAAAATAGGGGAAGCCTGGCAGCATGATTTAGGAGTAAGTTCCCTTTTATAGAGCACTATTATGTTTCATTTTTAAAATGAGAACTCTCATTTTGCAATCTGCAATTAGAAATGTATTTGAAGAAACTGAAATATAGTATTTATCTCTTCCTCTTACAAGAAAGCAGAGGAGTGTAAGCAAACATGTCATGTAGTGAAACCCCAACACTTTACCTTTTAAGGTAGGCATTAGACAATTCTGACATGGTACAGTTACTCTTCTCCGGAATATCTGAAATACTGGGTTCTTCACTAGATGTGGATGGCTCTATTTCAAAAGAAACACACAGAATTATCAAACTGTCTTAAAATAGAGACTTCTCTATGAAAGATGAGATTTTCTATAACCCGCCTTGAGCTTACTGACTTCACTCCTTTCACGCCCTAGAGAACTCTTCCCACATTTCTCCAAACATAGTATTTTTCTATTGGGAAGTACCTTCAGTTTTTTTATGACTCAATAAAAACATCTTTTTCTAATAGTCATTGGCCAACCTAGAGGCTAAATTTACTTCTGTATCAAATATATACACATACACACGGGGGGGGGGGCTGATAAATCTGTACTTACAAATAATAGTTGTCAGTTACCAACTTTGCTTATCACTATTTAGTCCTTCCAGGCTCTATGATACACTACTGTTGGCCTAAATTCAAACTAATTTTAATTTACAGAGAACTTCATTAAATTTGCAACTAAAATTGAATGCCATTATCAACTACAGCCAACTTTCCAACCAGTCCCCCACCACCCACTTGCTTATATATTCATTCAACCTTAAGAAAGTCAACGTAGCTTTTTTTTAATTCTCATTTTCTCCCACACGCTTACCAACTATTCTTATCCCTATAACCAAATTATGTCCCTATCATTAAAAAAGGCAAGCAGTTACTCTCAGCTCTGCCGCTGAGAATGCTCTCTGTCCTTCCCTGCCCCGGCTTACACAGAGCACTCACTCCCAGCTCTTCACCATTCATCTGTGTACTGCCTCACTGTACCTCGATCTGGCTCAGAAATTAAAGTATAAAACTCATGACTCCTACAATCACAGATCTCCTCCATTCTTTGACTTCAGAACTGGCTCTAATACATCTTTCTACCTTTCTTTCCTTTTGACTAAGGACACTGCGTTATAAACAAAATGAAGTTCTAAAGCAGAACATCATTTTTCTTTAAACTGTTTTTTAAAGAAATTTTTTTCTCTCAACAAAAAACATTCTCCCCTAATTTTTCTGGTAAACAAATTTTTTTTTGTTTTTTGTTTGTTTGTTTGTTTTTGGTTTTTCGAGACAGGGTTTCTCTGTGTAGCCCTGGCTGTCCTGAAACTCACTCTGTAGACCAGGCTGGCCTCGAACTCAGAAATCCGCCTGCCTCTGCCTCCCAAGTGCTGGGATTAAAGGCATGCACCACCACTGCCCGTCTGGTAAACTAATAACCAATCCAACTATTTTGACAAAACCTTTCCTGATTACCAATCTTCAGGAGGTTTTTTTTTTTTAAAGCAATCCTAAATTTTTGCATATCACAAAACCCCAAATAGAATTTTCTGAGGTAAGAAAATCATTCATAAAGTGGTCAGATCATGTTCATAATTAAAACTCACCTGAGTGTCCGTCTGCCTTTTTGTTCGTATTACTTCCTCTGAGTTGAACGGTATTATCCTTGTATTCCTATGTAAAAAGACATTTTCTATAACGGGATATCAGTTTTAAATGATATTAAGACATATCTTGCTTTATATTGCTTTACTTTACATAATAAAGACTACTTAAAAATGCTACCAGATTTTGGAGTAATGGTGAGATAGAAAGCAAAAGGGTAAAAGAAATATACAAACTGATTTAAATTTTTTTCATTGGTATCTCAAAAATGAAAATCTCACTCCTAGTGATTAGTGTTCATGGAGCTTGAAAGTCTATGCACGGTACTGGAGGAGAAAAGGAAATCATCAGAATCATCCAGCTATAAACTCTGCAACCTACAAAAAGGACATGCCTGCAAGACACACCAGTACAATGATGGCACAAATGTTCTTAGAGTAACCAATCTCTTGTAAATATTGGACTTAAGGCCCACTCCATGAGATAGAACCCATAAGTGCCGTAAGTGGCCCAGAACCTAAAATTAGATAGGTCATGGACCTAGAGGAAAAACTACTATTTCTGTCTAATAATGAACACAGCAAGAAAACAATTCTTAGTGACATATTTTTACAACCATACATCAATTGCTCAGCTCTCATCAGAAAGGCTTCTTCTTGCAGTAGATGGTAAAAAATGGTAATGAACAAATAAAAACTACAGAAAGTGATAGATTCTGGAGGACTCAGTCCAAATGAGATGTCTTTATCAAACCTCTCCCCTCAAGGCTGAGGAGCTACTTGGAAGAATAAGCAGAATAATCTGACTCCAAGAATGACTCCAAGGAAAGAACGTTTTCCAGACATAACGGTACTGAAGCACAGATGAACTCACAGAGACAAGACCTAACAAGAAACTATTTGCAACTGATACCTGTTAGGAGGAAAAAACAAACAACAGTTTTCTCCAATGAAGTGACACTGAGTATACAAATCACACAGCAGGACAGGCCTTGTACTCAGAAGTACTTGGTCACACAAAATGGACTCCATGTTTTTTGTGTGCTTTTTATTTTTTCTATGTTTTGTTCAGATATCTTTTTCTTTTTTTATTTTTTTTTCTTGCACCACCCCATGCCCACCCCGTTTTATGTTTCTATTTGTTTTGAGAGAAAGAACTTGAAGCTGAGTGGGTAGGGAGGTGGAAAGGATCTTGAATTAAAAAAAAATAAAATAAAACAGTAAATATATAAAAAAAAATAAATAACAAGAACTTTCCTACTTAGCTTTCTAATTATACATAGACATTTGCTTAAAAATATTAGGAAACAGCAATGAATATAATCTCCTGATATACTAAAAAAAAACTAAAAATTAATTCTTCTTTATCTTTCCAAATGAACATACACACACACAAAAAAAAACTCAACTATGTTACTGTGAAAAAATTAATGAGATTTACATTATTCTAAAAAACATTCACACCAAATTTTCAAACCAAGATTCCCTATTCAAAAAATAATGTATCTACCATTAAGCTGCTATTATCATATTCTCTTTTCTGAAATTCCCAAAGCTGGCAAGATACAGCAAGAGTATTTATAGCAAAAACAAAAAAAACAAAAAAACAAAACAAAAAAACAAAACAAACAGTTTCTAGTAGGTTGTAAATCTCAATAAAAGCAAAATACTTTAAAAAAAATCTAAACAAGCAGGTCAAAGGACTCATTTTGTTCTCCTCCCTCTCTTCCCTCCTCCCCCCACTCCTCCTCCTCCCTTCCTCTCTGCCAGCTCTCAACTGCTGCTCTACAGCCATGCCTGCCTGCCTATTACCATGTTCCCCACCATAATGGTCATGGTGCTCTTCACAGCAATAGAACAGTAACTAAGACAGATATGGCACTTACACCCTGTGTGTGTGTGTGTGTGTGTGTGTGTGTGTGTGTGTGTGTATGTGTATGTGTGTGTGTGTGTGTGTGTGTGTGTGTGTGTATGTGTGTGTGTGTGTGTGTGTGTATGTATCTTCTGGGATTTTTAATTTGTCTGTTTCTGTTGTTGTCACTCTAAAATAGGTTCTTACTATATACCCGTGACTGGCCTGGAACTCACTATATAGACCAGATTGACCTCTGGATTCAGTGATCCGCCCACTTCAGCCTCTTGAGTACTGAGATTAAAGACATGTACCACCACAGAAACTGGTACTTCCACCTTTATAAGCACCATATAAATCCTGGTTAAAAACATTAATCATGCCGGGCGGTGGTGGCGCACGCCTTTAACCTCAGCACTTGGGAGGCAGAGGCAGGCGGATTTCTGAGTTCGAGGCCAGCCTGGTCTACAGAGTGAGTTTCAGGACAACCAGAACTACACAGAGAAACCCTGTCTCGAAAAACCAAAATAAAATAAAATAAAATAAAATTTAAAAAATTAAAAAAAACATTAATTATGCCTCAAAAAAAAAAAGATCAGCTATTACTAGGTATCTGTCAACTACTTTTATTGAGATACAAAGTTCTACAGAAAGCAAAGCGGCCTTCACAGAACACGCTCTTACTTACCTTCCCTGGATCATTCTTCCGGCTTCTTTCACCGAGAAGAGGCCTGTCACCATCGAAGTTGGTAAGAATTACAGCAATGGCAGTAAGAGTTTTGCCCTTTAAAATATTTTTAAAAGACAAATGGTCAGATTCTAGAACACATATAGAAAACATTTCAAAACCAATTCTAAAATAATAAAATACTAAGTACCAGTCAAATCCACAACATGATGGTTGTTAAACAATGGTTATTAATAAAAAAAATTAGTTCATTTAGTTAAGAAAAAATTGTCTTAGCCGGGCGGTGGTGGTGCACGCCTTTAATCCCAGCACTTGGGAGGCAGAGGCAGGCCGATTTCTGAGTTCGAGGCCAGTCTGGTCTACAGAGTGAGTTCCAGGACAACCAGGGCTACATAGAGAAACCCTGTCTCGAAAAACCAAAAAAAAAAAAAAAAAAGAAAAGAAAAAGAAAAAATTGTCTTATACCTCACTATAAGTTACTAAAAGACTGATTACAAACATCATAGAAAACTGTCATTTTAGGGAAGGACTAGTACCCTATGTTGACTTATCACTTAATCATCAAACTAATATTAACATCTGCTTTCCATGAACCCCATAGCTATTTTAAAATAATTGGAAATTCTAACATGTATATGAAGACATTTTCATTATTTTCAACAGTTGGATTCACATTAACTCAGAAAAAAATCTAGCAACTTTAAAGCAGTCCCCAAAGTCTGGTCCTTTTAAACCCTTTCAGGAGAATATAAGATCAAAATTGTGTGTGTGTGTGTGTGTGTGTGTGTGTGTGTGCAGGTAGATGTGTGAGTACATGTGTATGAAAGCCAGAGGATAATCTCAGTAATAGTCCTCAGGTACAGTGAGCCTCCCTCCAAACCCTCCCATAAAGCCCTCCTCACTCTTCTAACTCATGGCCTGGTTTTTCATTAACTTTTGTTACATACGTCATCTACATCTACAGCTACATCTACACACACACACACACACACACACTCTTACACTAGTTTACTGGAAAGAGTAAATGAACAACTGTCATTGTTAATGATTGAGCTCTAGGACGAATTTTCTTGAAAGTAACCAATGTAAGATCTAAGGCATTGTCTTCAAGGAAAACTGCAGAATGTTTGTTGTCAAAGTTAACATCAATTTGTAATCAAAAGTTAAAATGTTACAAAATTTGCATGTTATAATATGACTAAAGCAACTACCAAAACTGTACCCCCTTTCTCATGATTAATAGTAAAGTTAAAAACATAAACTTTCAATACTATATGAAATTCACTGTGTGTGGTAGATCTACAACTTTCCAATGGGCAAGACTCACTATAAAATCACTGACAAGTGAATCATTCAATATACAATGTGCACAGGTGGATTTTAATGACAATAATTCAGTATCATTGTGCAGTAGTAAGTACCCTTTAGTGATTAAATACTTGGAATATAGTATTTTAACAAAGAAACCTAAAAATATCTTAAAGCCTTTAAAATACATGTAAGAGAAGCAGCGATTTTCTTTCTTTTGTTTTTTTTGTTTTTGTTTTTTTGTTTCTTGTGTGTGTGTGTGGTTTTTTTTTTTTTTTTTTTTTGGTTTTTCGAGACAGGGTTTCTCTGTGTAGCCTGGCTGTCCTGGAACTCACTCTGTAGACCAGGCTGGCCTCAAACTCTCAAACTCAGAAATCCGCTGCCTCTGCCTCACAAGTGCTGGGATTAAAGGCGTGCGCCACCACTGCCTGGTGAAATACTGATTTTCAACTTGACAGAAACTATAATCTGCCAGGAGACAAACCTATGGACCATGTCTGTAATGACATCTCTAGACTACGGTAATGAGGTAGGATAAGCTACTCAGTGTATGGCACCATCCCACACATAGCCAGTCATCAGCATCCATTTTTCTCTGCCTCTTGAATACAGGTACAATATGACCATCACTTACATCTCCCCCTGTATCTCCCCTCCTACCCCCCATATATTTATCTCCCCCAGAAATGAAACTCAAAATATAAACATATAAAATAAAGTAACAATATGACAGCTCAGCTCCCAATTTTTTATCCTAAGCAGTAAAACAACTTGCCAACAAAAGTGACAGCATTCTCGTAAACGTTAACTGTTTAGAATTGTCTTTAAATTGTGCTACTTACATAAAGTTGTATCTATTGTTCCTTTGAAGTATTCCAAAACTAGTTTAATGCCTACTGCTATAAACATTATAGAGCTCCAAGCAACAGCTCTATGACCAAACCAACAGGAATGGCTATGGCAACCAGTCACAATATCTACTATGCTGCATTCCCAGAATCTGTGCTAGAATATGACTTCAAATACTGTCCTGTTTCCTCCCTCAGCAACAGTGTTATTAAAGACACCAAGAAGTTTGAGGAGTAGGCCAGTAGGAAGGACACATGCCTAGCATGGCTGACATCTATGTAATGCCAGGATGAAGCAAAAGAAGAAAAGAAAGAAAGAGGGCTGTCAGAAAATCATCAGGGGTGTGCAGAGTCAAGGTTTCATCCTACTGTTTGGTTCTAGTTAGGGAACCTTAGTGTTAAGAGTATATTCCCTCATAAGATTTTTCTAACTATAGAAAAATAGATTACCAAACCCGAAGCATCAGCTAAAATTCCTCCACGAATACTTTCTGGTCGCTGCTTCATAAAAAAATTTGTTATTGTATTATAATATAGGCCATTTCGCTTCTCCCAGAATGGTGGAAGTTCTTTGTTGTTCTCTTGTGCAATCATCCAAGCGAGAGCTTGTTTCTGGTGTGAAAGCAATGGTGTTTCAATAGCCTATAAATATAACATCATGAAAAGAAATATAATCAGTCTTTTCTCTTTTCATAAGCAGAACCTGAGTTACTTTCTTATAGAATGAAATGTATAAATTACCAAGGCAGTTAATAATTCTGATGCTTTACTTTTGAAACATTGGTTTATATTTTTGAGTTTTTAAAATTTTCTAGGTATTAACAGACGTTGACACAGACATCGAGGTGGCAGAGATTTCCCCAATGTTCTAAACTATCTCTGCAGTCCATTAGCTGCTTCCTTTTCCATGCAGAAGCTTTTTAATTTTATGTAACACCACTGGTCAGTTTTGCAAATGATTTCTTGAGTTTCTAGAAGCATTTTCTGAAAGTACTTGTCTATCAGCAAATGAGTAAATGAAAAAAACAGACATTTCTCAAAAAACAAAACATAGCCAGGACTGGAGAAATTACTGGATCAGTAGCTAAGAACACTATTCTTCCAGAGGTCCTGAGTTCAATTCCAGCAACTACATGATGGCTTACAACCATCTGTAATGGGATCCAATGCTGTCTTCTGGTGTGTCTGAAGACAGCTACAGTGTACTCATATAATTTAAATAAATAAATAATTTTTTTTAAAAGTACAGACAGGGCCGGGCGGTGGTGGCACACGCCTTTTAACCTCAGCACTTGGGAGGCAGAGGCAGGCGGATTTCTGAGTTCGAGGCCAGCCTGGTCTACAGAGTGAGTTCCAGGACAGCCAGGACTATACAGAGAAACCCTGTCTTGAAAAGACAAAAAAAAAAAAAATTAAAGTACAGACAGCTGATATGTGAGAATGCTCAATGTCCTTAGCTCTCAGAGAAGAACTGCAGCTCAAAACTGTCCTAAGAATCCATCTCACCCTTGTGAGAATAGCAGCTGTCATTTTAAAAACAAACAGAACATGTACACAAGGACTCAAGAGAATAGGAACTCTTATAAAATGTTAGCAGAAATGTAACCTAGTGTTGGGTTTCAGATGTGAGAACAAACAGCTTAGGTACATATTTAAACATAACCAGGCAGAGCTGACCTCCAGAGTCTCCCAGTATCCCTCAGTCCCTACTTGGCATACCCTACCCTCAACCCTGAGCTGCCCACGAGCTGGGCTGCCCTTTCCCCAGAGGCTCTTTGCTATAGTATCCGGACATTTTGGTCTCTCACCCCTTCCCTCTTCTCTCCCTCTCACTGTGCATGCCTTCTTTCTTCTCCCCCTCCCCTTCTTCTCCCTCCCCACGGTGACTTCCCTAGCCTTGGTCCTTGGGGCCAGTGAGCTTCCCAATAAATCTGCCTTTATATACTCTAAATCTAGCTTGAATTGGCTCATTTCATTGACAGAGAAATAACTTATCAGCTATTGCAATCACTACAGATATCAGTATGAAGTTTCCTAGAAAAACTACTATTATAACTACCACATAATCCAGCTGTATTATACTGGGAATATTCCAAAAAAAAAAAGTAAGTAAACTAAAAAGATACCTGCTGTTTCGAGTATAATGTGTCATAACAACAGCACCATCAGCATCAGACAATCAACCTAGGTGCCATCAATAAATTAATAGAAAAAAAGGCAGTATATTTACAGAGTAGAGTCTTATTCTGCCATATTATTTATTCAGCCAAAATTAGTCTTACAAAAAAAATTATTTTGCAGAAAAGGCCAGGCCTAGAAAGAAAGCCAGGCCCACATTACATATTTTCTCCCGTATTAAGAAATTTGTGTGAGAGTATGTGTGTGTGTGTGTGTGTGTGTGTAAATATCATATCAACATACAACAAATATACATGACATGAAAACAGAAGAGAGATTCCTTGAAATACCCTGGAAAGAAAGGAGAAGGTAATGGGGTGTGAATATAGTAAAACTCAAACTATACTGCATACTTGAAAAGAAAAGCCATTATAAAACTTTATACAACATATACAGCAATAATTTTTTAAAAATATACAAGTTCATTACCTCAGCTGCTTCCATTTCAATAGTTTTATCATCTTCGGTTATATCTTCAAATAACTTCTCAAATTCCATTTTGATCTATAGTTAAAAAATAATAAATGCTGAACAAACTGATTAAAGTGTAGCCGGGCAGTGGTGGCGCATGCCTTTAATCCCAGCACTTGGAAGGCAGAGGCAGGTGGATTTCTGAGTTCGAGGCCAGCCTGGTCGACAGAGTGAGTTCCAGGACAGCCAGAGCTATACAGAGAAATCCTGTCTCGAAAAACCAAAATAATAATAATAATGATAATAATAATAATAAAGTGTAAATAGTATGTAATTTATACACGTAAAAATCATTTCATTGAACAAGTCAAATACGCAAAATATCCAAGATAGTCCACTACTCACTGACAAATAGTATAATGTAACTTTTCTACAGACGTAAATGCACTAATTTTAGAAGAGTATAAACATGCATTATAAAAGAGCAAGGATACAGCCTGCCAAGAAAGCACTGGTCGCAGCATTTACAAGGCCCAGTCCTGATGCTACTGAAAGAACAGTGGGGAAGCTCTAAGGTGCCAGTCCCAGTCCTGTCACAAATGACTCCTCATGTTTAGGTACAGACCTACGTCTGTGTCTTACCTTCATAAAATCAAGAACATGAAATAAACTAAAGGGTCAAGGTTCTTTCTGCCACTAAAATTCTGTTATTCTTTTAGCATTGAGTCTATTTTGGGAGACTGACTAGATACATCTAATTTGCTATGTTCTACAAAATATTAGGATAATAGGATAACCTTATTATTAGGCTAATTTAGCTAACCATTAAAACTGATATAGTTTTTTTTTGGGGGGGGGAGGTTGTTGGTGCTACAGGGGTTTTTTTGTTTGTTTTTATATGCACGAGTATACTGTTACTCTCTTCAGACACAGCAGAAGAGGACATCAGATCCCATTACAGATGGTTTTGAGCTACCATGTGGTTGCTGAGACTTGAACTCAGGAACTCTGAAAGAGCAGTCAGTGTTCTTAACCGCTGAGCCATCTCTCCAGTCCAATCTACTTCAGTTTTTTTTTGTTTTTGTTTTTGTTTTTGTTTTTTTGGTTTTGTTTGTTTGTTTGTTTGTTTTTCGAGACAGGGTTTCTCTGTGTAGCCCTGGCTGTCCTGGAACTCTCACTCTGCAGACCAGGTTGGCCTCGAACTCAGAAATCGGCCTGCCTCTGCCTCCCAAGTGCTGGGATTTCTTTTTAAAATTAGCATATAAATACACAGCAGCCATCTAAAAGACATAATGCCAGCTTAATAAAGGTGGCCTACAGTTTGCCCACAAAGCACAGGCTCATGCCCTTTGAACATTCCGTGAAAACTAATTGGGAAACAAAAAGAATACCACTAAATGGATAAATGGACATAAAATGTTTTAATGTTACTGTTGAAAACCATTAGTGGATGCACAGTCATAAAAATGATTTAATGTTATTGTCTAAATATTCTATATTATCATTAACAAACACTTTATATATTTCTTTGGAGTAACTTGGTATAACAACATACTGAAATACAAATCAGGCAAAAAAGCAGAATACACCAAAATTTTTAAGTTAAGTTTTTTTTTTTTGTTTGTTTGTTTGTTTTATATGTAAGTACACTGGACACCCCATGAGAGGGCATCAGATATCATTATGAATGGTTGTGAGCCACTATGTGGTTGCTGGGATTTGAACTCAGGGCCTCTGGAAGAGCAGTCAGTGCTCTTAACCGCTGAGCCATCTCTCCACCCCCCTTAAGTTAAGTTTTTTAAGATTGCATTTCCAACTTTATTCAAAAGAGAATAGTTTTCACATTCTAGTGGAGTTTTTTTATTACTACTGTGGACATTCTGAAAGTTTTAAAGAAAAAAAGTATGTATATATATTCATGCATGATTTTATGTATGTATAATTGTATATATATGAATTTACCTTCCTTTACATAAATCTAGCTAAACAAAAATAGTCAAACAAAGGTTATGTCTATACTAAGCCTGTATATATATTTTCCCTTGTCATTATTCCATAACCAATACATTATAACTACTCTATATCTTTTATTCTTATAGCAGATTTATAATGTAAACTATAGCAGATAATTAACTTAGAAATTGTTTAAAATATATAGCATGTGCAGTGATTCTATACAAAAACAATGCCATCTTAAATAAGACATTGGATGGTTCCAGAATTAAAAGGAATGTATTCCTTATCACTACCATTTTAGACTATGTTTGCAAAAAAATATCTACATTCTATTTGTTATATAATAGTTTTCATTATAATTTTAACAATATACCTAAAGATTACTAATACCAGCACATAGACATTTAACCTATTCTTTTAAAAAGGAACCTTTATCACTAAAAATTAACATTACAGTACAAAATAAAAGCATATTTGAGGCAGCCATGATGACAAACATCTGTAATCCCAGTCAGTATTTGAGAGGCAGAGGCAGGAAAACCAGGAGTTCAAGGCCATTCTCAGTTAGATAGTGATTTCTGAGGTAAGCCTACATGCGACCTTGACTCAGGACAAAAGCAACTAAGCATTAAAAGCTTACCTGTTCAGTTGTCATCTGTACTGCAACATGAGCCGAGCTACTTGGTCCTGCTCCTCCAGAGTCACATGCATTCTCCAAACTCAATCCTGAAGCTATCATTTCCAAACAGAAAAGGTAAAATAACCAAATGAAAAGAAAAAACTAAAATATCAAACAGTATTAAAACTTCCCAGACCTGGCTGTGTACCTCAGTGACAGAATACTTGCCATCAACAGATCCCAGTACTGCAATGAATATTAAAAATAAAATAAGACATAATGCGTTTTAGTGTTCTACCACTGAATTATTCCTAGATCTAAAAAAAAAAAAAAATTTAAAGCTAAATACTAAATCATTTCCAAATGGGGAAAAAAAAAACCCTTGTATTACTGAAATAATCACATATTATTTGAGTAAGTTCTAACCACACATCAAATTCTTTTTCATTCCTTACTGATCAATTCTTCTTGTCTAAATGTTATAAAAACAAATGTTTTAAATGAGGACTTATTGACCCTCATATATTTTTGTGTGTGAATGAATTTATAAATACAAACATGTAGCTTTATGTTTGGACATATAATGTTGGACCCATAAGACTATTTTATTTTGTATGAGTCATCTATAATGGTAACACAATGACAAAATCAACTTGATACATTCCTGAGAATCTGCCCTGTTGTTACATGATACATAACTGTATTTCATTAGAAATATAAAAGGAAAAGTCAGCAATTTCTTCAAAAGATTACTAAAAAAGTTACTACCTGGAGCATTTTGCATATTATTAGTTTGGCCATTCAAACTCATCGAGAGTGATTACTTTATTATCCTGCATCTTATAATATCAAACTTACTTTTTGGTGTGGGATCCAAGTTAAATCCATGTCTCTTCAACTGATCTAAAACCATTTTTCTACTTTTTTCTTTTCCCCAGAAAGTCATATGAAGAGGCACGGTGGGCACGGTGTAAGTATTACTTACACCAAAAGGGACTACCCTATTATAAGAAAGAGGGGCAAAATGAGAAATTGAAAGTTATTTTAGTACTAATTCTGAATGTTAAATGTACCACCAAACACAAAATGTAAATTAAGAAGGGATTATTTAAGCAACTTTGAAAGACAAAAAAAGGAAATAAAACTAACAATCATGATGGGGCACACCTCTAATTCAAGTACACAGAAGCCTAATAAGAGTTTGGAGTTCAAGGCCAGGTTGTACTACCTGAGCCTTTTGTAATCTCCATGAAATGCCTTTTGTAATGTATGCCTGTCATGCTCACTCAGGAGGAGTTTGAGGCTCGAAGGTCGAGTTAAGCTAGGTACAATAGCAAGAGACAGGATATATTTCCTAAGATATGAATTCAAGGGAAAACAGAAGTCTTTTTTTCTCCATGGTTACAATGTAAAAAGAGAATGAGAGGACAGCTATTTGCTGAATAGAAAAGCAGAGAAGAAAATTGAACACATCTAAAGTACAGTAATATAAGGAGCTATGACAGTCCAGAGACTCAAAAGGTATATAACATATTCAAAGAAAACTACAATCACAATGATTAAACTCTAAAAGCACATTACCCTTCTATTTGTATTAAACTGTGGTCCATGAGATAGGCCAAGGCAGCTGCAAGTTCTCTCTTTAAAAGGCCAACCTGATTTCCACACATATTATTTACTTTAATAGTATTCTTATCAGAGGGATTATAAGGCTCTCGTTGAAAAGCAACCATTTCATTATTATTTACCTAGTAAAAATAAGGAACAGATAGAAAACACATAAATATGAACAGGAATAGCTTCACCTAGTTGCACTATTTTTAGAATTTCCATTCATGCATTATTGTTAGTTTTTCTTTGTTTTTGTTTGCTTCCTTGGAATAGTCTCATGTGTCCAAGGCTGGCCTCAAGTTAGATATGTAACCAAAGATGATCTTGAACTAAAATAATTGATCCTTCTTCCACAATTTCCTAAGTGCTGAGATTATAGGCATGCATCACCATTCTCAGTTCTTTATTGTGTGAGGGACTGAACCCAAGGCTTGAAAATGACTACAAAGCATCTATCAACTGAGCCACAGTCCCAGCTCAAACTAGAAATATTAAGAAATATGTTTTACAATGATTTTTCTACTCTACTTTTGTAATTTATATTCATTAGGAAAGCTAATAAACCATTAAGATCTGAAAGGTACAGTTAAATCTACTATGAAGATTCATACTCCCGACATTTTTCAGTATGGCTAGGACATGGAAACAGCCTATATGTCCATCAAGTGACAAACAGTGAAAATGTGGTACCTGTATACAATGGAATTTTATATAAAGAAAAATAAAATTTGCAGGTGAATGGACAGAGCTGGTAAACATTACACTTAAGTAATCCAGACCCATAGATACAAACATCACATGTTCTCAATCATGTGGATCTTAGTGTCAAATCTTTAGATTTGTTTAATTTGGAATGCCTTACAATCCAGGAACCAGAAATGGACAAAGAGGGGAGCAGCTTACAGGTAAGAGAAAGAAGTCAGGTGACATGAAAAGAAAAGACAAATAATGTGAAGGTTTAAGTGGGAGAGGAAAGAGAAGATAGAGCTGGCAAATGTTTGGGGAGAGAGGATTACCATGAGGCTGCATGAGAAAGGCAATGCATGTGTGTATCTGTGTGTGTGTGTGTGTGTGTGTGTGTGTGTGTAGTATTTTCCCATAATAAAGAGTTTAATTAGAGTTACCCTACTTGTGGGACTATGCTCACCCCAGAATCCACAGGTTTCCAAACAAACAGTTCAGTCCCCAGGTATGGGATACTACCAGTAGTCCAAAAGAGTCCCAACACAATACAGGCTATTGTCTTGGCTCTTGGCTGCCAAAAAAAAAACTTGATGGTACGACAAGCATAAAAACATCATACACGCTGGCTGCAGGAGCTGCAGAAATGAAGGTGTACTTTTGTGATTGGCTTACCTCACTCAGGATGATAATTTCTAGTTCCATCCATTTACCTAGGAAACTCTCGAATTCATTGTTTTTAATAGCTGAGTAATACTCCATTGTGTAAATATACCACATTTTTTGAATCCATTCCTCAGTTGAAGGACATCTGGGTTCTTTCCAGCTCCTGGCTATTATAAATAAGGCTGCTATGAACATAGTTGAGCATATGTCCTTGTTATATGTTCGAGCATCTTCTGGGTATATGCCTAGGAGTGGTATAGCTGGATCCTCAGGTAATGCTATGTCCAATTTTCTGAGGAACCGCCAGACTGATTTCCAAAGTGGTTGCACCATCTTGCAGTCCCACCAACAATGGAGGAGTGTTCCTCTTTCTCCATACCCTTGCGAGCATCTACTATCACCTGAGTTTTTAATCTTAGCCATTCTGACTGGTGTGAGATGGAATCTCAGGGTTGTTTTGATTTGCATTTCCCTGACGACTAAGGATGCTGAACATTTCTTTAGATGCTTCTTGGCCATTCGAGTTTCTTCTGTTGAAAATTCTTTGTTAAGCTCTATACCCCATTTTTTAATAGGGTAATTTGGTTGTCTGGAGTCTATCATGCTGAGTGAGGTAAGCCAATCACAAAAGAACACACATGGTATTCACTCACTGATTATTGGCTATTAGCCCAGAACCTTGAAATGCCCAAGATGCAACTCACAGGCCACATGAAGCTCATAAAGAAGCAAGACCAAGTGGGGGTGATTCGGTCCTTCTTAGAAGGAGCAACAAAATACTCAAGGGAGCAAATATGGAGACAAAGTGAGGGACAGAAACTGAAGGAGGGGCCATCTGAAGACCACTCCACCTGAGTATCCATCCCATGTGCAGTCACCAAAGGTAGATGCTGATGTGGAAGTCAGGAAGTGCATGCTGATAAGAGCCTGATATGGATGTCTCCTCAGAGGTCTTCAAGAGTCTGACATACTCAGAGGCAGATGCTCATAACTAGCCATTTAACTGATCATGGGGTTCTCAATAGAGGAGTTAGAGTGAAGACTGAAGGAGCTGAAAGGACTTGCAGCACCATGAGGAGAGCAACAATACCAACCAACCACAGCTCCCAGGGTCTAAACCACCAGCCTGGGAGGACTTAGGGAGGATTCAGGGCTTCAGCTGAATACATAAGAGTGGAGAGCCCTGCTGGGCATAGGTGGAAGAAGAGATCCTTGACCTCATGAAGGCTGGATGCCCCAGGGGGTGGGAATATTGAGGGTGGGGAGGGGGGAGTGGGGAGGTAGATAGAGGTTATATCCACAGAGAAGAAGGAGGAGGGGTGAGGGGATTGGGGGTTCCTGGGTGGGTGGGGGATGGGGTAAGGGGACAACATATGAAATGTAAATAAAACATCCAATAAAAGAACAAAAAACAAACAAACAAAAAAAAAACAAAAAAAAGAAATGAAGGTGTACTGACTGAGTCCCTGCTGAGTAGCTTTCATAGTACTGGAAGGTGCTAAGGAGGCCTCTGAGGGCGGGAAGGGGGTTTGGGATGAGTCAACAGTCTTACCCAGCTGTGAACCATGTGAACTGCAGTGACTTGTGTGACAAGAACTGTCCATGAGTATGACAATAGCAAGAATGTTATGGAAGTAACAAACCACTGTGTTTGGGTTTATTTTTATTAATATGATTTCAATTTATATGTGTACATTTATTGAAAAAGAGAATATATAAATAGTATTAAAACTTTATGAAAATTTAATACATTTTATCTAGTTTTAAAATAATGAAGATATTTCTTTTTTTTGTTTTTGTGGGGTTTTTTGGGTATTTTATTTACAGTTCAGTTGTTATCCCCTTACCCCAGTCCCCCCACCCCCGGCCCAGAAACCCCCTATTCCATTGCCCTTCCTCCTGCTTCTCTGTGGATGTGCCCCTACCTACCTCCCCACACTCCTACCTCCCCACCCTTGAATTCCCCCACACAGGGCGTCCAGCCTAATGAAGGTATTCCTATACAGTAAGAAAATGAACTAAATATGTACTCTATATACATACTTATTAGTTAACTAGTATCATAGCAATTATTCTAAGATCAATATAACTGATTGTTCTGAGACTAATAACTATAACCTAACACTTCACAGAAAAGTAATTTAGAAACAATGTAAATTTGAAATAGTACAAATCTGAAATGCAACTCATAAAAAGATGTGAGAACCAGAGAATAGATAGATACCAACTAAGAATGGATAGATTGTTAAAATGACTAGAAGACAAAGATTTCATGAGCAAATACTAAGTACAATCAACACAAGTATAAACAGAGCATCTGAAAAGCATGGTAAGAGAAAGGAATGAAGTAGGGAAAAACAGAAAAATGGAAAATTACAGCACAAAGGAAGGCTATAGTAGACATGGGCAGATTAAGGGCAACAGGAAAACAGATCGAGGCACTGCATGAGAGAACACAGAGTTTCTAAGACAGAAATGCCTTCGGAATAAACAAACATTTAAAAATATAGTTTTAGACATTTTTTCTGAAATAAGAGAAAACAAATTTATAGAATACCTTAATGAAACTACTAAACAACTTGAGTGATTCCAACATAAAAAATACAGAGACTAAAAACATGACAAACAGGAAACACAGAATTCCTCCAAGGAATCTCCTGATGTTATACTTCAATTTAAAAAAACAAAAGGTTTTGAAACCATCAAGTACTCAGAAGGCTGAGACACTGAGACAAGTGGGCCACTAGGAGTTCACTAAGTTCAGGGTCAACCTTGGATTACTTAGTGAGTTCCAGCCTAGGCTGGAGTTTTAACTCAAGCCCCTTCCCCTGATGGAAAAGAAAACAAAAAACCTTTTAATAAGCTTTAATATAAAAATATGAAAAAAAAAATGAGGGAAGGGGGAAAGTAAGAAATCAACAAGATTCCAAAAGGAGACCTTATTTTTAAATGATACACATCTATAACAGTAAATCAGAATGGACCTTATAGCCCATGACAGCCGGAAGAAATATAATAACCCTATTTTCATCCTAACTGGAAAAAATAAAAACATTTCAAATAATCAACACAATCCAGTGATCGATTACATATTACAATATATGTGTTAACTCCATTAATAAAAATGAAATGTAAAAATTGTAGGGTTTGATTTTTAATTATGTATGTATGTGTAGGGCGGGGGTCATGTACATAGGGGCACTGCAGCTCCAGTTCCTGTGAATTGGCAACCATGAATCCTGAGAATGGAACTCCAATGCTCTGCACAAGCAGCCAGTGTTCTTAACTGCTGAGTCATTTCTTCAGCCCCAAAACTGCATTTTAAGGAAATGAATACTGAACTATATGAACATAAAGTGATACAACTGGTATTTATTTTTACAAGACCAAAAAATAAAGCAAATATAGAAAATACTTGCTAACCACTGAATCTTATTCTCACTTTGTTTGAAATTCTCTCATGATAAGTTAGATAACACTAGAATTGTATTACTAATAACAAAGATGCCCCTAGTGAGGATTGATTATTCAAAAAAATTATACATATATATACATATATTTTCTCCATCTGTCCCCTTTTTTTCTCTCTCACACACACATACACATACATCCAATTCAGAGAATAGGAATATGTAAGAAAGAGCAGGAGCTGTTCTTATTACAAAAATAAAGGCGAGAACCTAAATGCAAAACCTGATGGATTTGAAGTCATTTCTTACATGTACCTCGTATCTCAGTAATCACAAGGCCCAAATGTGTGGACAAAAGTGCTTTATATACTGTAAGGCTGGCAGAAATGTACAAAAATTAATCAAAGTTAGTAAAGGGATATGACTAGCCTTTCATTCAAAGTAAAACATTAATTGTATATATCGCCTTTTAATATAATTTACTGTTAAAACCATAAACATACCACAATTTTATTATCTAATCTTATACTTACAATTCCTACGTAATAGTGTAGTCCAATAATTTCTCCAATCATACTTCCAAATAAAACCAAATCTTGCTGGTCATCACTATTTCGGCTGCTTTCTGAAGGGGTAAAGTCTGGGAATTCAAAATATGGAAAGAAACCTGGGTATGAAGGTCTTGGACTTTCACGGGCTCTATACGGGACAGACATCGAATATTTCCAAAAAGGATCCCTATTTTAAAACAAAACAAAAAACAAAGGTAAAACAAAAGAATTAAAATCACAGAACTTAATTAAGCTTTTCTCAAAGAACACAGTCAGTAGTATTTTCAGGCTGATCACTGCCTTATCTTTTATTTTAGCAAACGAAATGCTATATGGCAACAATCAGTTAACAATTTCCCTGAATAAATCAAGAATTCAGTGGGGAAGGGTATCAGAAATCTGACCTGTTAAATATTGGAAACGCTTTCCTGGTGAATACTATCTGTTAAAATATATGTGATGTCTGAATCTACAATTGCATGTCAAATTCTTCAATGCCCACTGATAATGAAGAGATGGATTTATTAAAAAACAAAATAACCATTATAAAGGTTTTTTTTTTCCTTTTCTCTTTACTCTCTCCCCTCCTCTCTTCTCTCTCTTCTTATTTTCTAAGATTGGGTTTCTCTGTGTAGCCCTGGTTGTCCTAGAACTTGCTCAATAGAGGAGGCTGGCCTCAAAAATCCACCTGCCTCCCCCACCCAGGTACTGGGATTAAAGGCGTGCGTCACCACTGCTGGCTATGAAAATATTTTTACCTTTTGACATGCTACATTCACGGCATCCTCTGCTTTAACACCTTCTGAACAGAACACATTTTAAATCGGTTACCTAAACTGTGACATCATAGAGAGCTGACCTGGAGTCCCTCTGCCTACACATCACCCTATTATTTTAAAGGATAAGGATGATTATTCCAAGAATGGGCATGAAAAACACTGTAGATGATGAAAAGAGGTGTTTGCTGGAAGCCTTCTAGAAGCTGTCATTCTCCTAAAAACACACACATAGGGCTATCAAGTCGGAAATTTCCCTTTCAGCTCCTCTGAAAATACGCATTAGTACGCTTTTGCACAGTACCAGGAGACACAAGGAGTATGACTGTCTCAGTGCTGTTACCATAACAATGCCTACAGTACATTCTATAACAATGGTGAATAAATCACTTCGGGTGGAGTTTCAGACCCCCACCCCACCCCATCTCTTGCCGCAGTCTTTGACGCAGATTCCCCGAGGTCGTAGCAGCAGACTCTCGGGTCAGCCGACACAATCCATTGGTGCCTCCAAGAGCAACACCGACAAGCGACCCTCGGAAAGAATGAAAACTGCGCCATAGGAATATGAGCTGCATCTATCCCCGGGCGCGCACCATCATTTGAGGATACTGCGGAGCAATCGGCCTCCCCACCCCCACCCCCACCCCCACCCTCTCCCAGCGCCCCTCAGCCCTTCACCTCCTAAACATCCAGGACATGGCGCGGGCAAGGTGGCTTCGGGATGCGCTGAGCACCCCGGATCTTCTCAGATAACCTGAAAAAGCTCCTCAAGGCGTTGAGGCCCGGGCTCAGCAAAGGAAATCAGAACCGCAAGGCTGCGTCAGCCCAGCGAGATGTGTTTACGCCCACTCCTTCCTGCAGCAGTCGGGAAAAGAAAAAACAGTGACGTATTGTGATTGGCACTGCGAGTACCCAATCCAAAGGAAGAGTCTGAGAAGACCACCCAATCAGGATGCGTGAGAGTGGGGAGCTCCGCCCTATACTGCAATTCAAAGGCGGGGTAGCCCACCAGGGCTCCACCCGGTTTTTACCGCAGTATGAGTCAGGGTAAAGCTGGAAAAAAAATATCTAGGCCTCTTAGGTTCTGACGCACTTCAGGTAAAGATGACTTCTAGCCATTGCCCTAACGCCTCAAGGATGTCCCCATAGGTCAGACCCTCTCTATCTGATGTAATGCCTAACAGGACCTGCCTCGTTTCCTCTTCTGAGCCCTGACTATATTTGTTCTTAGGGACTTCCATGTTTGCGAGACCTGGAAATCTTAGTGAGAACATACGAATTTCCCTCTCCCACCTCGTTTTTATTATGTTTAAAGAAATTTTCTTCCCTTGGTAGAAGAAATTCATAAAATAAGACAACCTTACAACTCAGTTGCTAAAAAAGGCAGACCAGTCCAACATTAGTGTAAGGTCTGAGGTGGTAGCGAGGGCCAAGTATGTTTTCTCAGGAGACTGAAAGAGGCACTGTAAAGAAACTTTATAATCTAAAACTCCACCTTAGAGTTTTGTGTGCACCAGTATCAGCCAAGGTAAAGGTGATTCCTGCATCTTGAAAGACCACAAACCACTTTTGATGAAGCAGCCATTTAACTACTGCATCTTTACTTGCACCAGCAGTAGAAAGCTGATGGTGTTGCTGAGCCAAACACAATATGGTGTGCTGTAAACCACCAGAATGTCTAGATGTGTTGGTAAATGTTGGTATCAGGCTCGGAACCCAGTGACATCGCATCTAGGCGACCCCCTCACAAGGTTGCCAAGGCAACCATCATACATTCCTAGAATCCACCTGGCTACCTCACCTTTACCTGGGAGAGGCTATGTCACCGCCCATATAAAACAAGCACAACCCCCTGACCTCGATCTCTTCTTCCTCTTCTTCCTCTTTTTCTCCTCCCACCCCACCTTTGCCCTATCTCCTGAATAAACCCCACATGGAACCATTTGGTCTGGTGTGGTCTGTTCTAAGCCAAGCGCGGATGTATATCAGTAAACATTTTAAATACTGAAAGTCATAGTTCCTCGAGTGGTCCAGAAGAGTATGAAAGGTGGGCAGTTTTAAGAGGCATATGTTCATTGTCTTAAATATTGATCTGTGAACTAGCAGTGAAATGAGAGCATTTGAGGATAGGTTGCTTGAAATAAGTCCAGGCACAGCTTAGAACAGACCACACTAGGGCAAAGATTTGGGAGTGGGGGAGAAGAGAGGAAGAAGATGGAAGAGAGTGAGGTGAGGGGGGTTCTGCCTGTTTTATATGGGCGGTGGTGACATAGCCTCTCCCAGGTAAAGGTTAGGTAGCCAGGTGGATCCTGAGAATGTATGGTGGTCGCCTTGGTAATGATGTGGGGGTCTCCTAGATGTGAAGTCACTGGGTTCGGAGCCTGATACCAACATACTTCCCTTTTTCTTATTATAAAGAGAAGAAAAACGGAGAGGGGAAGACGATGGTGAAAAGGGAGTCGGGGCACTGTGTCTCTTAAACTACTTCCTGCTGTGTAGGAGAGTAGTCCATTGTGGGAAGTAGCTGGCTTTCACCATGGGGTCCACTTGGTAGATGTGTGCATCAGGTTTCTCTGTGGACAGCGGCTAGTAATCCTGTAACAGGAACTGATTAATAGTTTGGTTAGAAATAACACCAGGAGGATGACTAGAAAGGGTGTTACAAAAGAGAGTATCTGCTTTTATATGGGTTTTTAAAAATCTCAGAACTGGAGGTCTCACATTCCCTAAAAATGGCATTCTTCTTGGAGGAACCGGCGAAGACCATCTTCTTTAGCTGTCAGGACATCTGGCCCCATCAGTTCTGAAGCACAACAGCTGGAATGCGGAGGGTCTTGTATGTAGAAACGAGTGTCTTGTGGTGTAGGTAGACGAAATGGTTGAACCGTGATCCTAGCATATGTATCTGACAAGACCAATATGGGCAGCCCCCATGATCGTCTGGCCAGTTTCTACAGTAATCTACCTAGTCAAAGAGAAAGCAAGTACAGAGAACATGGTATTTAGATGGGACAACAGATACGGGGACGATAGCAATTTGGATTGGTTCTTGGCATCCGGCTATGGAGCAGTTTCCTGACCCTGTTCGGGAAGACTGTTATCTGTGGGGGTCTCTTGAACCTCGGATCTCCAGATGGAAGGGCTGACCTGGATGGAAACAAGCAGCAGGGGGAGGATGAGAAACACATGTCTAGTCCAGTGAGGTCAAGCTCGGCTGCTGGAATGGAGTCTCATTTTCTGGGATTGAGGACAAGGTGGGTGGTCTCGATGTCATCTGGAGGTTAATAGAGCATGGTCCTGTTAGAGTCGACATATAAAGAAGAGTTGATTTTAGATGGAGAGATGAAAGGCTTGAGGTGAGGCAAGTGGACCCAATGGGGGAATCCTTCAAGTTTAGCAGCTGAAGGGTCACGAGGATTACCTTAAAAGGACCCTGTCATTTGGGAGAGAGAGGTGAGGGCCGATGATCTGGAGGGGAGAGAAGGACTTGGTCTCCAATGTTGACAGGCAGTGGACAGGAGATAGTGTGTGGTTGAGGTAGATGGTGGTCAGCAAAGTTCCACAAGAGAGAACGGAGGTGGCAAAGCAATGGGGTGAGTGGATGGTCTGGGAGGGGAGAGCATTTAGGTGAAAGACCAGGAGTTAGGACTGGACGTCCATACATGAATTCAAAGGGTGAGGTGAGGAGAGGTTGCTTGGGGAGAGCTCGTAGCCTGAAAAGAACCAGAGGTGGTAGGAGTTTTACCCCGTCAAGGTGAAGTTCCTGTGACAGCTTGACAAGAGTGGTTTTTAAAGAACAGTTAGTTCTTTCTACCTTACCTGAAGACTGAGGGTGATAGGGAATGTGATAATGCCAGGGGATGTTTAGGGCCTAAGGTAGAATTTGAAAAACCTGGGAAGTAATGCTGGAACAGCACCCTCAGGAATACTAATGTCAGAAAGGAGGAGGGGAGAGAGATACAGAGAGACAGATCAAGAACAAAAACAAACAAACAAACAAACAACCCTAACTTTAACAGTATTAAGAGACAATTTATGCTAGAGGCAAATATCAGTGACCAAGGCCTGGGAACACAGAATTAGGCTGTCCCAAATGCAATGTTTCAACTGAAGCTGGTTTCATGAAGTTTTTATACTAACGGAACAAAGAAAGTCATAAATCAAGATACTTTTCGATATACATTTGTTGTAACCATTAGGTAGGTGGGAAAAAGTATAATGGGAAACGTCCTTTATAGGCCTAAGACGCTGACATCATCCTCAGCTTTTGAGTTTGTTGAACGGTAGCGGTGGCACTGTTTGTACATTCCAAATGATTTACCCTGGGGTCACAGAAACCTGGTAAGTATGGAGGAGGACAATAAATAACTATTAAGAAGGCTAAAGATCTAAGATAATTTGGCTCTGGATTTGCAGCATTCCAGACACTGCACAATCATGGTAGCTCAGTTAATCAGCCTTGCAGAAGATTCATTTGATGGTGCATCACCTTTCCTGGGATTTTTGTGCATGTCAAGCAGGTACTTGTCCTCTGAGTTACATCTCTAGCCCTCGCTAAGAATCTGAAGAATGAAATATTTCATTCCCCCAATAGGAAATGTAATGCAGATAATGATGTTTTGTTTTCTTCAGTTATTTTACTTTCCTCATGGTGTATTATGATACAAATGCAAAGTTGTGTTTTGGTTTGGTTATTTTCAGTAGTAAGTATTAAATCTCAGGGCCTGTCCAATGTAGGCAAGCTTTCTATCCACAAGCCATATCCCCAGCCTTTATTTTTTTTTTAAACTTTGTGACAAGGACTCAGAAAGTTATCCAGGCAGGAGATTTCCAAGGGCAACTTTGATCCTAAGACAGAAGCCTCAGCCTCCACAGTAGCTGATAACATTTTATGTGTAAAATTAATACAACTATGCTCATTGGATTAAATAATAAAATTCTTTATAACATAGTTTTTTAACAGCATTTTTTCTGCTGAAAACAAAAACCCAAACCCCAACAACAAAGACAAACCATTGTCCTTCAGCCACAAAGCCAACCTATTTACTCAAGTAACCATGTAGAAAAGAAGTCCTATACAAGCTCCCTTTGTCAAAGGGGTTACTATCACTCATCTATCACCTGAGGATTCATCTGAAAATTGGACTCAAAGTGTTCCATACCAAAGCTTCCTTAGCTACTGACCAAGAAGTGTAAATGTGTAGATGTGTGGTTCTATACTACCGATCCATTAAAAATGCCGTATAATTCTCTGTTGATAACTACATATTGAATAAATGAGATAAGATTTCTGGGGCCAAGACTGTCTAAAAGGAATACAACAGAGTATGATAGAACAAGACACCCAACAACTTCTTGTGGCCTCTGTGTGTATAACCCTGCATGCATAAACACACACAAATCACACATACACTCACACACTCATGCACATGTGTGCTCACATATGCACAAAAAGAGCCAAAGAATATTTAAAAAGAGAGGAAAATTGTTAATTTTTTTATAGCTGCTTCTATTCCCATAACCAGGTACTAATAGATTAAAGTTCATAACAAAATGCTGGGCAAATCATAAACTGAGAGGACAGAAAAAGTGATGGAAAAATAGTGCTGAGTAAAGTTAGTTCAGTTTGGCTAATGAGTATCAAATACTTACTTTAAAATAAATACTAGGGCTAGTCCACATACCCTGGAACAGCAAGGAAACACCCAACTCTCCTGAGACTGGACCAGCATCCCCACACCCTACCTATTTTCTTAGCTTTCCCAGAGACACATCACCCCAAAGTCAGCAGGAAGTAGCTAAAGATCATCACAACCTCTATTCCTGTTCCACCATCACCTCT